GGGGGGGGGGGGGTGGAGGGGGGTGCCGGTCCGATGCGATACCTACTGCAACGAGCAAGCTGCCTCGCCTGCTTACCGAGTAGCGTTGGTCACTCCTGCCGGGATTCACAGATCACAGAGGACTCAGTACCTACCTCTCGCAATGCTATGCAATGAACACGAAGCTTTATCCAGTGATGGAGTACGGAGACTCCGTGGCTATTGCAGCTCGAGACAGCTCGAGACAGATGATCGTGAGCTCTATCGGGGTCTTGCATCGCCATGGAGGCTAGCGGGTTGGCTGTTTGCATGAGAGCATTTGGTCTTTGCCCAGGTGATGCTGCAATAATAATGCTGCCGCTCTGCCGGAAAGAAGAAGGGAGGGCTCGCATCGCAGCCAATCCGAACCAGTGCGAGCTCGAGTGGCAGCTGGAGTGGGAGTACTCGAGAATCTACGTAGGTACCCTACGTAGGTACATAGCCTAGGTACATAGCCTAGGTCTCCAGAAGCAGCTTGCTTCAGACGATCCGGTCTGCCAGTGCAGGTTCAGGTGTACTCGAGTAGGTTACGGTAGGTCTTCAGCCGGATCAGCTCAGCTCCTCTTTTTGCCTCTTCTCTTTGCCGCCAAGTAGGTATAGGCGTGCTAGGGGCTCTCCCTAGGTCCTCGGTAGGGTGGGAGCCAGAAGCCGTACTCGAGCCATCGCCCATTGTTGGAGCTAAGTACCGTACGAGGGCAGGACCACAATGAATGGTTGCTACTAGTACTTGGGTACGGCCATTGTGAGGCCTCCCCTTCCCAATCCCTTCCCAATCCCTTCCCAATCCCTTCCCTTCCCCTTCAGGACAGGTATTCTAGCTTTCTCCCGAGGTCTGAATGCGAATGAAACCCGCGCATTGAGCTCTGGTCCCCCCCCCCGTCGCAAGACAGGCTTCGACAGCTCCCAGCTCCAGGAGCGCCCTCGTTGCCTTTGCTGCCCCTCTCCCGCACGCATTCTCGGCCCTGGAACACAGTCCGAGCTGCCAACCATAGCTTCCACACATCGCTTCACCCTCACACACCTTACTCGCTGCGACACTTACTCGGGATCACCCAAGTCAGTACCTACACCTCACACCTAATCTGCTACTGCTCCAGTACACCCTGCCGAAAGCGAAAAGCTTCATTCCACCGCCTATACCTTATCCCTCCATCTCAACCTCCCTCGAAGCACGACGTTCCCTTACGATACCCATACCCGTTGCGCTGCGCTGCACATCTACGTCGGCTTCGCGATTGCTCCGTACCCCTCGATCGAGCTCCCGTGCGTGCGATTGCGATACGACCACTATCTAATCTAGGGCATGGTGGGGTCCCAGACAACCTCAACGTTGATGACCATGCCTCCGCGATCCTCATTAACCTCGTCTTTTTCCGTCTCGGACGCCAATAATGAAGTGGTGTGTCCATTGCGAAATCAAGATGGCTCCAGCTGTCGCAAACGTTGCCTCGGCGTGAGTGCCTCTACTCTGCTGCGCCGGCCCCTCATGGGTCCCGCAGCTCTACTTCTCTCTGCTTTTCCCCAGTGCAATTGTAGTAACATCGGCTTTGGATGCGCAGGAGAAGCGATATCGTTCGATGCAAGAGCACATACGACGAGCTCATCCCGAGCACTACATTTCGAAGCTCCCAGCAACCGAAGAGAGCTTTCAGCTCATGATCAATACCCCGCCATCCGAACGACCTCCTCCCCCAAGCTCCAATCTCGGCCCACACAGTATGAGCTCCCTTGATCGTAATGAAACCATAACTGACAGCATTTAGGTTACGGGAACGACCGACTGAGTTATTATACTGATGATTCAAGTCGCAACACACCCACCAGAAACCTCGATGATAACCAGTCGAGTTCCATGCTTCCAGCCGCTAGTGCCGCGGCCGCCCTAGCCCAACTACATGCTCATAAATTGGAACCAGACTGGGAATCAGAGACGGTGCGTTATCTCAGTCACGATAAAATTGACGTCTTGTCACTTATCAATCGCTCACAGGACTGGATGTCTGACACCGAGGCGCACAAACAAGCCATGCGCCGCTCCATTGAGTTACCTCCTTTACATAACAATCATATTGAGCCTACGAGTGAACCCTACTCTCATCTCAACCCACATCGACGAAGAGAGCTTTTGCCTTCTATCTTGAATAATTCACCCCCGGGTAGATCATCTACCTTGCCGCCAATTCATCGGCCAGGCGCCAATAGGCCAAGAAAACAGTCATTATCAAAGCGTGCAAGAGAGCCTCAACATAAGAGGCAAAAGTCGCGCGAAAATGCTGCACATTTAAGGCGAATGAGTTATGACAGGAAAGCATTTTCCGCTGAACCTTCAAGTGGATTGTCCGCCGCATATGGCAAAAGATGGGAGGATTTGATCGATGCCGCTACTTCAGCAACCGAGGATGCTGATGAAGATAGAACGCCAGTGAGTTTGTCTTCGTCGAATCCTGATGTATGGTACTAATTAAACAGGTTCCTCCGTCCCCAGTTTCAGTTAATCGTGCATCACTACCGCCCTTCTCGGCGTCCCAATTTCAAGGATATCAAGCGTCGCCTCTCCAGCAAGCTTTGACTCCACCGTCATACATTCCAGATGCACCAGAACCCTTTCCATCCGTTGAAAGTGGAGAGAGTGGAGATATGTTCCACATTGACAATCGTGGTCTCTCTGATTCGTCACCGAGTTTCTCATCCCAAAATATCCAGATATATTGCGCTGCGTGTCAGGGCGTGTCTCCGTTGAAAGAGTCGTACGCTTGCACCGAGTGTATCTGTGGAATTTGCCAGGCATGTGTCGATGTGCTTGTGGCTGAACAAGGTGCTCGGAGGAAGTGTCCTAAGTGCGCCACGATTGGAGGGCGGTTTAAGCCCTTTCAATTGGATATCAGATGATGCAACGAGTGTCCAGACCAAAGGAACAATTCTTCTAGCTAATTTTTTTTATTTGGGGTTTTTCAAACATATAGAGGCGTATCAGGGTGCAGGCGTTCTTTTTTTGCTATCTATTATCATTTGATATAGTTATATCCTGCAAGAATGTCTGGGATGGGAATGTGGATTTTTTGATTTGCTTCTTTTTTTTTTTTGGATATATATATATATATATCGCCATATGGCAGCTGGACGCTATTCTTGTGCATTTCTGGGACGTTGGCTATCTGATTAGCTATCCATTCGTAGGCTGGTTATCTCGTGGGAATCGGAATTGGAATTAAGGAATTGGGATATTGGGAATTGGGAATTAGGTGCGTGTTTATAATTACTTGAATAGGACTATCTATCTTCGTTTTTTGATGTAGTGGACATCGTTATATACGTACATAGAATTATTTGTGCTCCTCTTGGGATTTGATGAGTAAAGCAACTGTTTTCTTTTGTTTTGTTGGTGTGAGGATTAGAGTACAGAGTTGAATTGTCGTTTGGGTTTAGAGTGTTGGTTTTGGTTGGAAGGGGTTGTTGTTCTTGGTTTGTTTGGTGGGTAGGTAGGTAAGATTCAGTCCGTCTTTGAACTGCGCTCTCGCGCGTAGTCAGGTAAAGCAAATGTCGGGTTGAGGCACCTTACAAGGGTTTCTACGACTTTTCTGCTAAGGAGAGCTCTCTGGTATAGTTCTGGCTGAAAGGTGGGAGGGGTTGGGGGGGAGGGGGTGTCTGCCATACTTGTTACATGAATGTGGGGGAGAAGTATGCGCTCAGTTCGCTGGTTTGTTTCTCGAGTTCACTTGTAGTCTAAAATAAATGAATCATCCCATTGTTTGTATCGAGGTCTAAGAATGTATACTTGGAGTAGAGTACTATAAGAATGTTCACGTCGATTAATATCTTCCGAGTAAAACAAAGGCGTTTAGCTAAGCAGGCTACTTTTTTAAGCGTTTAAGTCTACTTTAACTTTGTTGTTGTGTTTACTTCTATTAGCTTTACGTACACGCTTTTTTGGGCCTTGTTATTTCGGAAGGTATACTGAAATGAATCATGATGAGCTTTGTTATGGTGCATGGTATATACTGGGTACAGGTTTCTTTACCTGAGTTGACGCTTCTCTCTTTGGATAGCTGATCGTTCTTCATTTTGGACGTTGTGAATATATGTTTCGATTACTTGGAAGCTTGTAATAGTTAAATACTGGAGGCCTAACTAGGTAATCATAGGGGTAATAAAGAAGAGTGTTATCTTTGTTACCGCCTGAGAGTAGCTTTCATATAGTTTTCGGATGTAATTATTTCAAGACTCGCTTCCCTAAAACCGGTTTTACGTGAATTTTTGTAAAGAGAATCATACTTATGTATCCGACGAAAGCGTAGAATTTACTGCTACTCTTACTAATAGTCTCGTATGAACTCGTAGATTGCCCAGAACTCCTGAGCTAGAGCCGTCAAAAAGTAAGTGGAACGATCAACTGTCAGAAAACCGTCAGAAAATCGACTGACAACCCAAGCTTCGTCATCGAAAATTGGGTCTGTAAGCTCAATCTCACCAATAAGCGAGCCCCTTTGCAGAAAAAGATCCGAAGAACTCCACCTTCGACCCCTGCTAGCAACCATACCCAAACAGGAATACAATCTCCTGCACACCATCAGCAACTAACGAAAAGTGGAATATAATCTCACTTATAACTTTCTGCACGCCGCCAGTCGTTTTCTTCTCATTTTGCTCTCAATTACCCTTTGCTTCGAACTTGATCCCGGTACCACGATCGCACTATATTTTGAGACCACATATTGAGTTGTTTGGCTGACGGAAATGAATTTCGTGGTGTCGACTGGTCCGGTGGAGAAGCATAATGCGGAGGTGCGCAAGCTGATTCGGACGCATGTCATGCTGGGTAAGAACAGGGGGAGAGTGCTCCCTCCTCGAAAGAAGAAGAATAAGGACGTGGAGGCGTCTCTAAGCGAAAAGCCCCTTTCTGAATCCGTCACTACATGTACCCCTCGAAATTTCGGTTCGGATCTATGTGCTGTGAGATTTGCCGATACGGTAACACCTGAAGCTATCACTTCGATACTACGCTGTAAGTAACCTCCCCTGGGGTTCTTAAAAGAAGGGTTCTAATCCACTCATCCGATAGTTTCTTCTATCATCAAGGGGATTTTGTACCCGCTGGAGAAATGCATATTCTTCGACCGAAGGGCGGATGTTTGGGTTACACCCTTAGCGACTGATCCCGCGTACCTGCACATCGTAATCTTCAGCTCACAATACTACTTCAACAACATCCTCCCCAAGCAAAGCGGTTACGGAACCATCACCTTCCGACGCTCACTGCATCTCACGAAATCTGTCAAGCTTCTCCGTGAGAGACTTGCGGATGGCGAGGGGGTGGAGAAAATATCGAATACCACCACGGCGGTTATCATGTCTCTAGCCGGCCACGCATTCATGATGGGCGATGTGGAGAGTGCTAGAAATCATATTGAGGGGCTGTATAAAGTCTTCGCTTTGAGGGGAGGTGTGGCTTCGTACCAGGGCGCGGCGAAGCTTCTGGTTGAGATGCTGAGGATGGATATTGGGTTGGCGCTTTATGATGGTTCGGAGTGTCTATTCTTTGACAGGGAGCCTTTGATACCCTTCCCTAATCTTTCATTGCTCCTCCCACTCGACTTTGGAATCCTTCGAAACCCAATTGTTTTCTCAAATGGACTTGATCCTAAGCTTGCAGGGATTTGGAACCTCCTTGCGCAGTTCTGTGCAGTCGTTAATCTTGCACTTGAATCTAGACAATTCATCACTTCGGAAACATACTTGGAGACCATGGCATCAACGTTCTATCGCCTCCTCGATATGCGTTTTGATTCCTGGTCTCGGGATGAGGCAGTGCGACTTGGCCTGCTTGCGTTTTCTGCAGGCGTTCTTCTGCAATGGAGACAAATGGGCGTACGGTATTCTCACTTTACTCATCTCTTCCGAACTTGTCTGGAAGACATTTCGAGTGCGGAGGTTTCGCCTGAGCTGATGCTTTGGCTTTTGATGGTGGGGGCTGTGGGCGTGTTTGATGGTGGTGATGATATATGGCTGAAGCCTTTGTTGCTTTCTCAAAGTGAGATTTGTGGGCTTCGTTCGTGGGATGAGATGAAGATTCTGTTGGAGTCGTTCTTGTGGGTTGGTTGGGTATTTGATGAACCTGGCAAGAGGATATTTGGTTCGATGAACGCTGGTTTGGCATGATGATTGCCCCATATCTTTGGGTTTGGGTAGTGGTGTGGTTTATTCTCTAATTACCGAGTTGAACAATTGTGGTAAAACCTTAAGTAGTTAAGAGATAAGCTAATTATTCTTGAAGAAATAGATGTGTTGTGCACAATTCAATTGACCCGATGACATCCTTAAGGTACTTGAAGTGCAGATTTCAGGTCTATTGAAGAATCATTCCAGTAGAATTCATTGATTCATCTTGTTCAAGAATAATTAGAAGAAGGAATTAAACGTGTGTCTAGATAGAAAGGTTCTAGTTCAACACCGTAATTGGCGAGTAAAGCTCACTAGTAGGAATAGCGAATCTTGATAGTAGCCAAATAAACCAATAGAGAAGATCTGAGTTGAAATCAGATGCATGATTGACTTTCTTGGTATCCGCTTTATTTCATGAAAGGTATCTAGTTGCTCTTGTCTGCTCTCTCTCCCAAAAGACCAGCCGCTTTTCCTTACCACTTCAAATGCCAAACATTTCCTTAACCTGTCTATAGGTATCTTCTGGATTCTTAACAGAGTGGCCAATCGTCCTTGGATCCGAGTAAAGCTCATAATCATTTCCTCCCTGCGCCGTCTTGTCTCCAAAGAAGTGAATAGTAGTGTATTCAATTCCACCAGGTTTCTTCGCCTCAGCCTCGAGGTGATTCAAGCAGAATCTCTTATCCCATCCATTAGGGAAGACATCAAAGGAAATCTGGCCACCGATAGAGAATCTTTATAACATTAGTCCAGCACATACAAAATTTCATGAGGTAATCGCACGTCAATCCATAATCCGCAAATTTCTCCCTCAAAATTCCCACCAGCGTCTCCCGAATCTTATGCTCCTCATCATATTTCTGGTACTCATTTCTCTCCACCACACTCGCATTACGTCCAATAGGACTAATATTAATCATCCCATTGCGGAACTCCATAAACGTCCCCCGCTTGATAGGAATATCCAAATCCGCAATATAATGCAGCACAAACTTCACCAACTTCTTGTACTTATCCTCCCCGAGCCATTTTATGAACGACGTCGACGCTAATGGGACACCAGATTTGTAGGCTGTGAGACCGTTTTCCGAGAAGCAGAAGTCGAACATGGTGGTAACGGGGATGGAGGAGGTGCCGAGCTGTTCTTGCTGTTTTGCGAGGTCGGATCCGCCGACGAATCCGATTGCTACTTTTTGGCGCAGGGCGTGCAGGAGTTGGAGCATTTCTGGAGTTGCTGACTGAGGGAGATGTTAGCTGGTTAGTTTTGGGAGCTTGAGAGGGGTCTCGTACACGGCGGGGAATGGTGAGGGTTTCGTCGACGTCAAAGAGGACGATGGTGTTGGCCATAGGCCGTTGGTCGAGTGGTGGGTAATCTGCCATCTTGACTTTTTGTTGAATGAATGGGAGAAGGAGAATTGAAGTACGGAAGTTTGGCGGTCAGTTGTGGTGTTTTGAGGAGCTTGAAGGAGCAAGTGCATGGTTGTCATCAAGCCCCTCCAATAAGATGCATGAAGACCCCACACAGTATTGTAACCCCGCGTCTACACGTGATGAGATTTCCTACAATTTTCCAAACGGCAATGGTTATTTGTGAATTTCCTAGATAAATACAGAAGATTGCTCTGGATGTTTTTTGTCTGGTTGTTGTGATTTTGGGAAGATTCCCTGGTCGGGATAAAGGTTGTGGTGGACAGAAACCGCAGTAGTATATTTTATCACTCCCTCGTTTTTCCTCCTTTCTAGCTTGATGTAAATAAATAACCTGAATCTTTTAGAACAATTGGTCTAGCTCTCCATGGTCTTTCAATTGAATCAATCCTTCGGAATCCTTAGAGCAAGTGAGCTGCTCTATAAAGTCAGTGGCAACAATAAGTGCTTCCCTCGATAGCCATTTCTACATAACCTATTCTCTCAGCCAAGAACATAGAGACCAATACAAGCAGGTATTTTCTGCCACAGCAGGCGGATCCAACATTCATCCAACAAACAAAAAACCCCAGACTTCGCTGCCTTTATTTCAACCGTGGTTCATGACACGCTCTTGAAAGTTAGACTTTCAACTTTTGAAAACAGTATACGGTAACAAGACAATGGATTGAATCCTTTCTATAGGCGAACCGCCGCTATTCTATACTCTAATTTTGGGCGCTACTGAGTGGATTTATGGAATGCTGATGCTATATCCAGTTTATCTTCCCAATCCAAATCAATCCTCTTCGACAATAACACCCCATGGATGATCAACATTACCATATTTAATATCCATAAGCCACTTCTTCAAAGCTCCAGCAAAGTAACCAGTTTCACCACCTCCCATTGGAATAGAAAATTCTTCCTCTTGAAAGTTGATAGCGGAGACTGGGGTGATGAAGTACTAGGAATATCGTTAGAAGACCCAATGAGAATATAAGTTGGAGAAGGCTAAACTCACAGCAGTCCCAGAAACAAATGCCTCAACAATGCGGTTCTCGTTCTTCGCCTCGACAACCTCAGCCATGGTGAACGTTCTCTCCACTACCTCAAGCGGCTTGATATTGGAATCGAGATACTCGGATCCGACTATGAATCTCTCATGTGCCAATTCAAGAACACTTCTTCTGGTTACCCCATCGAGTATGATCTTATCATCCAGAGGAGCGGTGATGAGCTGCATTTTCCCTTCTTTCGTTGTCCAGATGATGAAGAAATTCGAAGCTCCTGCCTCGGTGACCTTGTTTTTATCGTCAATACAAGTTCAACATCAATACTCGTAATTGACGAACCTGGTAATCTGGACCAAACAGCCATAGAATCTGATCATATCCCTTCTTTCTACCTTCCGTGCTAGCAACAAATGACGGTCCGTAATTGGCTCCAACCTTGGCATATCCAAAACCACCTAGTGACAGTCATTAGCATAGCCATGAAGTGTTATAATACTTCACTAACCAGGCCACGCTCGGGTATCATTCTTAGATGCCAAAAGCTTCAGTCCCGGGGCCTTCTTATCTGTGGATGGGTTCCATCCTGTAGATAGATCCGGCCATGGTACCGCGATAACAAACAACAAAACTTCAGGTGGAGCAGATACACCGAGTTGCTCTCCATTACCGATCACAGCAGGACGAAGATAGAGAAAGTTTCCTGGCTCGGATTTCGGAAGCCATTCTAAACAGGCATTAGTTTTTCCCATAGTTTTCCCAAGTGCAAAACTCGAGTTTTCAATACATACTAGCACCATCGATTTTCATCAACGCTTTGAGCAATTTCTCCAATTCTACTGGGTTGAATATTGGGAGGGATACGCGAGCGGAACTGGTAACCAATCTGGCGCAATTTCTATCGGGGCGAAAAAGTCGAAGTTTACCATCGTATCCACGATAGATTTTCATACCCTCGAAACATTGAGTGGCATAATGGAGACATGACGCTGTTGGCATGATAGTCAAAGGTCCATATGGGACAATTTTTGGTGTGCCCCATCCTTTCCCCTCGAGCCAGGTTACCGTGAGCACTGAAGAAGGGTAAGCAAAGCTCAATTTATTTTTAGAGGCCAATTCAAGGGCTTGGTGTGTATGGCAAGGGGTTGTCCACAATTACTTACTATGATCAGTGCATTCTTTGCAACCTGAAAAGATATATTAGCACATATTTTTCTCGATGAATGAAAGCAAGGGGATGTAAGTGTGAATAGACCATCGCCCAAGTCGGCGTGTAAAATGGGGTTAGATGGAAAAGTTCATACTCCAGACCCCTGCACTATTGAGCTCAGGAACTTTTCGAGGTGACTTTGTAAGTTCAATTGCCAATTTCGAGGCATCTAGATCCTGCATAGCTGGAATCTTTTGTGCCTCGATACCGGAATGCGTGAGGTGGTCGAGTGTCTCGACACTCATAGTGGCGGTGTGAGATGGAGAAAACTAGTGCAATTCACTTCGGTTTTTTTGGCCGTGATAACACAATTGAATCTTCCGAAGCAAAAGCGGAATTCTTTATCAATGAATTAGTATTTCTAGGCCTTTAGATCAAGAGGTAGTTTCGACTTACAAACGAAGTACGTGGCGCCGAGAGGAAGTGGATATGATGGAAACAAATACCCAGTTTTGGACGACGGGAACTTTAAGAAAGGGCCACTAGCGTTGTATCACGCTAGCGCTCTGATATGGCCTTGGCCCAAAAATGTGTGCAATTGGCAAATTAGAGAACTTTTGAATCACTCGAGAAGATGAGATTACATTTAATTTGCCGGAAGTTTACGAGCTGATAATGGCCAACCTTTTAGAATGAGTCAAGTGGAGTTCCCGACATGCTAGGAAGGGGGCTACTCTAATAGTCTAGTTGGCGTCCATACCCGCAGGTTAGGTTTGTCCTATCAATTCGATACCCACAGCCTCCAGTAAACACCACTCAAGCTTTCTGATCTGCAAAGCAAGTCTTGTCGCACTAAAATGTGTGTATGTGTAACAGGGTTTAAGTATCCGATGGAAGCACAAGAAACCCTAGGTACCGAGGATACACCCTATTAATTCAAAATCACGTGCAAAGCTCCTGGCTTCGAGACTTCATTCTTACTTGATTACGATACTTTCGGCATTGCAACTGTATTGCAGTCTTACGGGCCGGTGTCGGGGAACCAACGTCCGAAGAGATTATGTCGATTACATCTCCAACTTCACAAAATCGAAGCTAACATCGAAGCGAGAACAACAACTCCAAGATGGATTCCCAAATAGTTTCAGGTGGTGAGTAAAAGATATTAGAAATACAGATAGTCTCATATCTCTCATGAAATTTTTCATAAGCTAATAAGTCCCACAGGTTTTCTGTTGAAATACTACGCAGCACGCCATAGTCTCGGACATTATCGTTCCTTTGGCGTCACTGGAATCTACCATTTCCCCCCTTGTATACTCGCTTCTCACTCTCGCTTCACAGAGATACTGAAGTTTGCACTTTCAAAAACTATCACTCGTCACTCAACACTCTCATTTGGGGTAGTAGAGCGACTCAAAAACGTGGATGCACACTTCTACCGGCAAAGAGAAATCAATTTCGAAGATGTCGTTGAGTTTCGGTCATCCACCGCTGTTGAAAAGGAGGAAGATGAAGTATTAGGAACTGAGATTGGCATTTCTCATCGTCATTGCTGGACAGAGCAAACTCGGAAACCCGGATGGAAAACCGTGGTTGTGAAGCATGAGGAGAATTCGAATGGAAGAGTTGATATCATATTCGTAACTCACCATGCGCTAGCCGACGGAGGGAGCGGTGGCTCTTTCCATAAGAGTCTCTATCTATACCTCTCGGAGGCAATACAACTCTCCTCCCGCTCCTCAAACTGGCCACACCAAGTCCCAGAAACAACACAACCTCCGCCCTCAATCGAAGACGCCTTCCCCTTTCCCCCTTCCGCAACCCCTCCAAGCTCAGGTCCAGAAGAAAACACACCAGCACCATGGGGTGCCCAACCTCCCTCCCTCCACTCCCTCGACCACGCTCTAATCCTCGCCATCTCCCCAGCTCGCCTCTCAGGCATCCTTACATTCTGCCGAACCAAAAACATAACACTAACCTCCCTCCTCCATTTCCTAACCCTCACCTACCTCTCCACCACCCTCCCCGCAACAGAAGCCCCCTCCTTCAAAGCAATAACACCCTACACAATGCGTCGCTTCACCCTCACACCCCCCACAGAAATGGTAAACCACATATCCTTCATCAGCACACACTTCCCCATCTCCCTCACCGCCTCACTCCGGGACTTGCTCCCCTCAGACGAGGATTCCGACAACGAGCGCGAGCTCTTGAAATCCGTAGCCTCGCAATACCAACGACAGATCTACGACGAGCTCTCTTTCGTAACGCACCAGCACTTCTCCCCCGCGCTCCTCACACAATATAAGCTCGTCTCAACACTCTCCTCCGATGCCTCAATGCAAGAGTATCATGAGAAAGCAATAGGGAAGGAAAGAGAGTACGCATACGAAATCTCGAATATCGGCGTCTTGTATCTCGATGCTCCTGGTTCCCAAACGCCAAAGCCCACAGGAGAAGAAGTAGTTACGTTAGAAAGACTAGTCTTCTCCCAATGCGCAATGCCCACTGGTCCCGCGATCGGATGCAGCGTCGCTAGTATCGCAAATGGTCCTTTATCAATATGCTTCACCTGGCAAGAAGGGATCGTGGAGGAGGACTTCGTGCGAGGATTGAGAGGGTATATGGAGAGGAGGCTAGCAGGATTTACAGCTTGATAGCCCGGGGTTCGTTTTTGAAAGTTGAAATCACAGATTGTCTCGGCTTCCTTTCTGTTTCCTGTAACAATGGTTCGTAGAAAGCAATTATAATTCCCTCGCTACGTAACTTGGCGCGGGTGTCTATCCATTTAACCGAATAAAATCAGCGAGAGAGAAGAATTGCAAATGTGAATGACGCAGGAACACACTACGTACCTAGTAAATAACAGATGCTCCTATATAATTCTCATAAGGTGCAAATCTCAGCCCTACCTATCGTACCTAGTATGTGCCCTCGCACGTGGAACTATTCCCATCCAACCAAAACCACCACAAAAACCACACCATCCCACTCCTCGCTCGCTCCCAACTTATCTACACGAACCAAAGTAACACTCTAAAAAGCCCACCCTAAAAGGATACCAAAACCAATATATAAAAAACCTACTCACGACTCCGCCCCATACACACCCTCAAAATCACCATCCCATAACTCTACCACAACTCTAGCACAAATTCCGAATTATCCCATTCCACCTAGATCACTAAGAAGTAAAAATTAACAATTGATCAATTATTCTAAGGTATTCGTATACATAACAGGTTCAGTTGTGTGAGGTCTTTGGGATAATATCATCATAACTCAAGTGTGTATAGAGTAATGCCCGTCTCTCTTAGTGTGTATAAAACAATTAGCTTCCACAAAAACCCACAATCTACTCCCTCCCAAATCCAAATCCAACACACTTACCACTCAATCCCCACCACTTTATCCCCAAGAATTCCAGAATTCCAAAAGACTTCTTACTCAATAAAACATTCCCTCCCCTTTACAAGAAGCTCTAGATAGAACGATTCTAATACTAAAATTCCTAGGAATCGATATTAACTCCTATCTCCTAATCACGGCCTAGCATCAACCAACAAGATCTCTTTACTAATTGTAAGCCTCATCACCCATCTATTCATAAAAGAAAATACAAGTAATACAGTACCTACTTGAGTACTGTATTGAACTCAGAGGCTTACATAGCGGCTACCTACCTTCCTTAACATGACGCCGCACACCCAAGAAAGTTCAAGATAGTTTTACCCTTTCAACCTCCAAAAATCCTTTTGATTAAGTATCAGAGGTTCTTTTCAAAAAGGCCCTTTTTAGTCTTTCATCAATAATCACTGTAAGCGAGAATGTCGAGCCCCCTTCCCCCCTTTCGAGTCGGATTACGGCGGTAGGTATATCTCACTACAGTCAAGGAGATTATAGTAGTCATTTAGAAGTCTACTTTAGATACCAAGTGTATCAAAACCACACATAACGATCGCAAAGAGTCCTTCAAATAAACTTGCGCATCATGCTCATTCATGGTCAACAACCCGAGATTCATTTAATGGAAATGAGAGGTTCAAGTACGGTACATGTAGAAACTCGCAGCTGAAGAAAACTAATCCACCTTACTGTAGCAACTCGGCAATATAGCGTGAAAAACTTGGACAAATCAAACCAAAACGAGCCATTACTTCCAAGTTATCCTCTCAATACAACTGCTGATGCCTCCATTCATTCTCAGGATAGTAAGATGCCTCATCCTGATAATCATCGCGCTGGATGAAACCCTCATCTGTCATGAAATTCCCATGCTCATTTTCATCTGGAAACGTTTCCTCTTGGAGCACTTCTGTCCCAAGAAACCTATCGTCATAATATGCACCATCATCATCTCGATGTTGGAATCGAGCGCCTTCATACCAACCCATATTCACGTCTTTCACGTCACTACCCACACCCTGGAGCTGACTGGTGTCGTACTGCAGGTTATTTTGAAATGTCTCTTGAGCGTAATCCAAGTCATTTTCAAACATTTGTCCCTGATTGGCACCATCATACATACTATCGTATGATTCTCCTTCTGGATACACACCATTTCCTTGGATTTCCATGCCTATGGGCCCCCTGCTTTGGTATTCAGCGCGGCTAGGTTGATAATTATCAACCAAGGAAGGTACTGGTGATTCTGTCTCAAGAGAATTCATATTGTTGCCAATCTGCGGTCGAATGAATTCGGGGAAGAATTGTTGAGGACGAGTGTCACTATGTTGCGCTTGCCGAATGAATAGAGCTCCCATTGATGACATGTCCAACATTCTCGATGCCGGATCGAATTGATGCGCCAGGCCTCCGCGTAATGGCAAGCCCCCTAGTAAAACGGGATTGTTGATTCGGAGTGTAGAGGCATTATGGTTGATTTTAATCGTAGAACTGGAACCTCTTGATTGGTGCAAAGATTCTGCTAGAGATTGGGGAGTTGGACCCTGGTTTGGAACGTTAACATCCGCGTGAGATCCTCCAGGATTTCGCGGATCAGAGGTACCATGTTGTTCGCCTGTGGGATTCTGGTCTGCTTGCCCAGATTTCTCCCCCTGATTTGGATGCATCGAATCATGAAGCGGCAATGGGGTACTTTGTGGCATCTGCGAAGTAGATCCTGTGGTAACTGGCTCAATAGTAGCAGGTCGGACACCCTGTTTCTCAGTAGCGATAGCCTCACCCTTCGTATTCTTTTCGGATGCTGCTATAGAGACTACCGGTAAGGTAGTCGACGGCCGTTTGACTCTTGCCTTTTTTGCAATTTGCACTCGATCTAAGAGGGGTGTTTCTGGTATCACAGAAACTGATGGGGAATTTGAAGGCTCTTGGTGATCATTTGGAAAGTCTCCCTTCTGGTGCCAGCCTGATTCCCGGTCGTAATGTTTCAAAACCAGGTTTTCTCGACTTTCCTTTGATGTCGTTGGACGATTACTTGAGATTCCTGAAGTACTTGAATCATGGGCATTCAAACCCCTTGATTGTGCTTCAATGATGTTTTCATGCTTTCGACCATGACGGAGCTTATGAAGACGAATTTCACGGCGTCGGGGACTACTCTGCGCCTGGTGGCTAGACGACACGGACGTGATAACAGCTCTTGGAAGAAAACCATTGACTCCATCATCATCATCATGACCGCGCTTCCTTTGTCCATCTCTCGTTCCCTTCTGCCTCTTTTCTGACTGTTTTTCCTTCGTCGAGGTGTATAAACGAGTAGGAGAATTTTGTGGATACGGACGCATTTGTATTCCGGTATTTCGATAAACTCCAGTCTCCTCGATAGACTTTTGAACTGCATCCGGTATGGGACTGACTTGGCGTCGATCATAAATCCCAGCAGGCAAAACTTTCACAGGCGAAAATTGAGTTTCTGACCAGCTGACATATGTTGTTGCTTTGCCGGAGACCTTACTGGCAGCATCCGTAAGTCTCCCTGCAGATACCAGACTTGGAGGTTGTGATCCCCGAATAGGTGAGGGATCTCTTTGTCTGGCATACAAGGATTGTTTCATTGGAGGATGATTTGATTCGAGTTGTGTTTGTGATGTTTCTTCTGAAAAGCCACTACCTCGATTGTTATTTACTTCCTGTAGAGGTTTCCGATATTGGTTGAAAAAGGCAGATAGATCCTCGATATCCTCCCGTGACTTTAGCAACTTCCGTTTCTCTTTTTCTCGACTTTTCGATTTCAAGTGTTCCATTTCGATAATTGGACGAGGGCGCTCAGATTTTTGCAGAAAGTCCATATCCGAAAATGCAAGGTCAGGTACTGTTTTTGGGACACATGAATTGCTAGCTCTATATAAAGTTCGGGTTTTAGTACTTACTACCCTTGTCTTTGGCAGCATCAGATGTTCGCCCATTGCCAAACAAACCTAAGCTGTATGGTGGACGAATCTAGCACTTTTAGTGTTTGGTGAGATGGATTTGATAGAGAGACTCACTGTCAGACGATCATGGCCAATGTTCTTTGATGAGAAGTCTCGCATCAGTTCCTCGCCATTCTTCTTAGGGTTTGGGTTATTCTTCTTTTTTGCGCGTTTGGTGGTTGTTCGTTTCTTTTCCTGTTTTTTATCTGCCTTGTGATCCTTGGCCTTTGGCGCATAGCGATCCTCTCGAGTCTTGTGGCGAGCTCTCCTTTCGAATGTTTCTTTGGGGCGCTCTCCATCTACGGAGCTTTTTCTAGAACTTGAAGTGGTTGAAGCCGTCCGACACCTCTTGTGTGGTCGAGGCGACTGTTCCTGCTCTGTCAGTCTTTTCTCTCTTCCCGATTTCACCGGTTGCACTCGGGGCGTTGTGTATTGAGCCTCCAGTAGCGAACTATCCGACGAGACGTTGTGCTTCTCCTTGGGCTTGGGCTGTGCTCGGTTGGTATGTGCTGGGTTCTGATGATTTTCGAGGTGCGCAAATTGTCTAGCCAGCTTCGACTCACGCTTTGATTCTACCGAGCATCAGTAACAATTATACCACCTTGAAGTAATTGACCGACCAGAAATATTAGATGGTTCTTCTGGTTGCAAATCACCCCGCCTGGTCGCAACTTCAGCATTGGTAGCTGCAAGCCATCTGTGGACGTAGTCTTTACTTTCGCTCAATGCTGGTGCTGTCGCAGTTCCAATTGGCGGTCTCTCTTCATGACTTCTATGCTTCTCCGTCTTCTCAACTCGATCGCGTCCATCCCCCCGATGGTGAAGACGATGATTATGGCTTTCATGGTGATGGCGTTTTTCCTTGTCTCTGCGCCGACTTTCGCTGCCACGTCTTCCGCTATGAAGTCGCCGTTCCATGGCAATAGGGAAATACTCTGGACGAGCGAAGTTATGTTTCACAGAGCAAAGATGGCGAGAAGGAGCATTTCATATGACATAAGAGAATGTTCGATTGGTGAGAGGATCTTCTTCGCAAAGATGGAAAACCCCAAGCTTCGATTTGTGTGGTGGTCGACGTGGTCGTGGCTTCCCAATTTGGAAGGGACGACCAAGACGGCAATTTGATAAAAGACGAATTGCAAAGGGAACATTCTTGCAAAAATATAAAAAACATACAGTTTTTCTACAGTAGAAGGTGGTTTGCTTTGGCCGTCTGGTGATATGATAGCTATGGGGGGGTCATGAACTTCGTGAAATTGCCTACCAGCGGACAAGAAAGTGGTAGTAAATCCTTTTGTATCAATTTAATCTACCTCATTATTGTGGCTGTCACACCAACAAAAATGTGTAACCAAAAGTCCTAGGACAATTATGTTAACTGTTCTAAAACATTTGGGATATCTTCATACTACAAATAAATATAAACTTACGCCAATAGAATGAAAAAGAGTCCCTGCCACTCTTTTTGTCCACAAGGAGGTTGCGTAGTAACTCTTCTGATCCCATCTAGAGAAGGATTTGGCTTGGAGTATTTCCGACCCGGCTCTTCTACTCTTCTACTCCACCGCTGTTATGCTATTGGGTCCAGGAGAAACCAGGCAACCCGGTTGTGACAATTTGATCTTTCCCATTCTCAAAGTTGTGAGAATAAGAAAGATCGTAGATTGGCTGAATCTTGGCCCTCCGACCCGTCCATCTTTTATATCCTCAAGATCGCCGCCCTTTTGCCGCTTTTCGTCCATTGGTTATTGGTTCTGAAATGTTCCAAAACTCATGGCGTTCCTGCATTTGAACCTCGCAGTTGCCTTTGCGTACATGCGTCGGCCCACCCAATCCAGATTCACAGAAATGTTGAAACAGATCTTATGAAAATGAAGTCCAACGATCTGTTGGATGAGATGACGAAGGGACCAAGTAGCGGTGTGGATCGCAGCCCTATGCGGTGCCTGGTATGGAACGATCCACCCATGGTTTCCATTGGACTCAGAGAAAGCACATGATTTTGCTATGCTGCGAGTCAAGCTGTGAGAGGCGAGCTGTCAGAATGGTGAAATGTGTTGGTTGATCAGAGCAGGAACAGGAGTACTCTAGTACATCAAAGTACTTGTACTTCTACCTTTTTGTACGTCAAAAAAGGCTAACACTGCTTCAATACATCTCAATAATCTACACGATCGTTATTGCTCCTAGCATCAATTGAAGCAGATCTTGATGCTTGCTTGTTCTCACAAGTGGATGACTTCCATCTGTGACGAAATATTGATTAGGTACAGCAAAGTAGGCGGAGTCGCCGTCTAAAAATGTCGAAAAGCGGAGCCTCACAGAAAGAAAGAAAAAATTAAAATCGCTAGGCCAAGACTAGCTTTTCATAGGCTGAATAATAACACTGGAACACAAGCAAAAAAACCCCATTGTGCCGAAAAAAATGGTGCAGTGCTCGTATTCTCTCGCATTTCTCGTCTTCCTTGCCGGAAATAAGCCAATCTGGGAACAGATAAATGGCGTGTTCATCAAGGAGAGCACATGAAAATTCAAGGCAGGCTTGCAGGACTTGCAAGACCCGGCCAGGTGGCGTTTCGGAGGGGAAGGCTGGCTCGCTGGTTATCGATAACATCAATCCGCAACCCCACCCCACCTTGCCCTTGCCCACCTTGCACTCCACTTGCGTTCTGGTGATGGTTGGGTTGTCCACACTGAGGAACCGAACAAAGTCTTCATGCCGATGAGGGACTGACTGCAGCGCAGCACCCCTGCAGGTCTCGTTCTGCTGCTTGGATCCAGAACTTCGATACATACTCCACTGACCCAGTACTTGTACGGTATGGCCGCTGCGAGCCCTCCGTTGCCGGTGGGAGAAGTATCCTCCATGGCACTCTTCCACTTTTTCACTCCTGCGTAATGCGCCGTACCTCCGTATATCTATAACTATCTCCATAAGGTCATAGACGCCGACGATTTCTGCAGGAGGTGGCAGGATATGAATAATTGCAGGGCGCAGCGTCGTATTTGTTTACAAGTGCTGCAATCATGGCAAAGCAATAGCAAATCCAGACCTTTTTCTGCCCGCATATTTAAGCGTATGAGTATTGGCCGAGGGTCCAATAGTAAGACTGCGGGGGGTTTTTTGGTGAGGGCGTTTGCCAGGTGGATCGCCAGATCAGACGCGATCTGGCATACGGGTATAGGTACCGAGGTAACCCTTTCGTCATACGTAGGCAGTCGTTGCACGCGTCTGGAGAGATCGATTGACTTTGAACATCATTTTGTGTTCCGGTGATGTCCTCGGGCTGGTTCAACGGTGATGGGCCCTCCCGTCTGGACGCCAAAGCGTGCTCGTCAGCTGTCATTTGGACTCTGCGCGGATGGCATCTTCGCCCCGGGACCCTTGGCGAGGAGTTGATTCGACTTGAGCACGCTCGCCGCATTGCGTTGCGTTGCGTCGAGTCTGTCGTCTATGCCGCTGAGGATGGGAAGAGTGCGTGCTGGATTGGGTGAAAAAGATAACCTTGCAGGCACACTTTCACTTTCCATCACCTTGTCGTTGGATGTGACGGTATGATTGGCTGCCGTGGAAAGTGAACTTCTGGATAGGCGAACAAAAGCATTGAGTAGAAGACGAGCAGTGCAGTGCCGCTCCAATGGCCTCCTGCTTGGTGGCATGGCAAGGGGCGATGGTAGGGAATCGTACTCGAATTCTCAGCGTGAGAGTTTCCATCTATAGAGACTACTTACAGGTACCGGCCACCGCGCTGGAATTCGTGGAGTTTTTCTGGACAAATCGAATTTGCCGTCTCCAGGTGCAAACCCTCCTCATCACACCCCAGCCCAGCCTCTCCCCCTCTCCACCCAACCTGTCCCTGCAGGCTCCAGGTGCTTGCAGTGCTTGCTTTAGTCGGTGCGCTAGCGTGCATTTCGGGGGGAGCCAAGGGTAAGCTGCCCACCCACTCTCCTCTCACAGCCACGCAACGAGTGGTGGGCACTGCACTGCACTGAATGGAACCTTAGCGAGAAGGCGAGAAAGCGGGGCAGGCGCAACAGAGTCTTCATGCCCTCTGCCCTCTGCCCTCAGCCCTCGTCCCCATAAACCCCGCTTTCGTCTCTCCCTCACTCGCACCTCCTCCCTCTCACCTTTTCTATCTCATCCACCCCACCTGCACCATCCTTCTTCATCTCTCAACTTCCCAACTTTCGCGATCTTTCTCCAGATCGTCTCAATTCCATCCGTTCGCACTGTCATTTCAGTCGTTCGACCCTCAGTTCACGCAATCGTCAACACCACAGCAACCCAATTCTCGCCACTACCCCACACCCACATTTTTCAACTGTCATAAAGAGTTCGTCAGATTCCTTGCTTGCGCTGACCTTGTTCCATCGATATCTTACACGATATCCCCCACATTCACTCTTCCATTCCTGTCCGCTCAGCGGAGTCCTGTTCTGCCTCGATGTATCTTTCTTTGTGTGTTCCGCAATCCGTCCGTTTCAGTCGTCGATACCAACAACCCGATGGCGCGCTCTTTTATGTGTGATAGCGCGTGGAAATTGAGACTTTAAGCCAGGTTCTTCTTCAAAAACATCACTCAACATGTCTAAACTTTTCATCGGGTAAGTCAAATTTCTCCACACTCCAAGTTCGGAAAGCAATGGCTAACCATCATTCAGTGGCCTCGCATGGCACACAGATGAGAACGCTCTCCGTCAAAAGTTCGAGGAGTTCGGAGCTGTCGAGGAGGCAGTACGTTCATCCCATTCTTCATTTCCAATCATCAATTGCTCACCACTGTGTTTCCAGGTCGTTGTCAAGGACCGTGATACCGGCCGTAGCCGTGGATTCGGTTTCGTCCGTTATGGTCAAGAGGCTGATGCCGAGGCTGCCATCAACGCCATGAACAACATCGAGTAAGTTTTTCACATTGAACTTGGTCACAATCAATTGCTAACCCTATTAGGTTCGATGGTCGCACCATTCGTGTTGACAAGGCCAGCGAGCGCGGCTCTGGAGGCGGCGGTGGTGGTTTCTCCCGTGGAGGTGGAGGAGGAGGATACCAACGTGGAGGATACGGTGGTGGAGGTGGCTATGGTGACCGTTCAGGCGGTGGTGGCGGTTACGGAGGTGGTCAAGGTGGTGGATATGGGGGTGGCCAAGGTGGCTACGGAGGTGGTGGAGGTGAGCCAATTCTGACTTGATCCCCAAATATCGCTTCAATCAAATGCTGACCATCAGATAAAGGATACTCGGGTGGCCAAGGTGGTGGTTACGGGGGCGGCGAGCAACAGCAAGGCGGTGGTCGATGGCAGTAAATGTCCGTGGACGTGATCTTCTCTCCGACCTCGCGCGTTCGTACGACTTGATGGCAAGAAAAGTTAAGCTTTAGGGTGTTGGCAGCAGTGACAGGTTCAATGTGTGTGGACCTTTGATTATCATCCACCTTCTGGTTGATAGTAAGGGGTCAGCCTCGTGGTCTCTAAATGCGGTTCGTCCTTGCTTTACTCTGGAGTTGGGGGGGTTTATTACCTTTGTATTGGGATGGTCACAACTTCACACATGGTCTTTCAGATATCCGAATTGTTTTTTCTCTCGACCTAGGATCACTTTTCTGATCTAGGTATCTTTTTTCCATACAGACTCCTCTGTTTGGCGGCTCGCTCTAGTCTAGGGAATAGGCATAATGATCCTTTAGGGAAATCGAATGAAATCACTCAGAAAATACCTCCTCGTCTATGATTGCTTTTCACTCCTTTCTTTCTCATCTGTACTGTGACTGTCGCTTATCGATCATGATTGATGCTTCTCTACCTCTTCTTGCTCATCCACGCTGTGGTGATTGACCATCTTACTCACTTCTCGCTCCAACGCTCTCTTCTCCAAGTCCGCATCATCCGTGCTAGCTTGTAAGGCCCGTATCCTATTAGCAAGATCCTTAATATGTTCGTCCCCACTCTCCGGACTCAGATTATCCAGCGCGACTTGGAGGCTGAGCAAGTAGTCGATGTTGGGACCGCTTGGGCCGACGGAGTGGTAGATGTGCTCGGCTAGTTTCTGGGGATCCTGGGGACCGAGGAATTGCTCGTTGTCGGGGGTTCCGATGTAGACGAGGGTTTTGATGGTTGGTGTAGGTGTAGGTGTGAGTGTTGATGAGTCCCGGGAGATGGGGGTGGCGGGGTGGAAGGTTGTGTAGTGGACTGTGTAGCCGCTGGGGGTTGTTAGTTTTTTGGTTTTTGAGGGGAGGGGGANCCGGGAGATGGGGGTGGCGGGGTGGAAGGTTGTGTAGTGGACTGTGTAGCCGCTGGGGGTTGTTAGTTTTTTGGTTTTTGAGGGGAGGGGGATGGTGGTGTGGAGTTGGTAGTGAACGAAGGGAAAGAGCTTGAAGTGGGATTGAGATGATGGTATTGGACAATCAAAATAATCCCCCCTCTAGATCTCGCTAATCTCAACTCGTCCACTGATGTGAAAGAAATAGTGAGGAGTGAACTACCTAGGAGAGAAATGATGATGAATTCCTCTGAGCCTCGATAGTGAAGCTAGATGGTATGTGTGTGGAAAAAGGATACATCTACCAGCGATTGAAGTCCTCAAAGTGGAATCGAGGGAAAAGTAAATACAAGTATAGCAAAAAAAAAAGAACGTACTTTATCTCCCTGATATCCAAATACTCCTTCACCTCCTTGACCTTATCGGCCTCGATTCGATAGGCGGTTCCCCATACTTTGTCAGATTTAGAGGGGTGGTGATCATCGAGCGTCTCCCAGAACGAACGGGAGATGAGTGTTACTACTCGCCCCGGGGCTTCGGGCGTGCCTCTGTGGTCTTCGCTAAGGGGTTTTAGCTTATGCTTTGGAGAGGCGTGGTAGAGGTGTTGCTGGGTTGGTGCTTGGCTCTCGGTGTTGCTTTTTTATGGCTTTGTTTTGCTTACCTTGCCTAGAATTGAATGTTAGCTTGTGTAAATTTGCTCTTAAGGTTCTATTTGTGGAAACGAGGTATTGAATGTTGTTGGAAAGCTGAAAGAGAGAGAGTGTGAAGCGATTCAGGGGGAAATACTGACCTGCCAGAATCTACGTACGTATCCAGTTACATAACCTGGTACACGACGATCTGTTGGTTGTACACCAGGGATCAGCTTTTATGCTTAAAGAAGATCGGGGGACCAAGAGATTCCAGTGATCTGGTTGAGCGGGGGGTAGGTTGGGGAATGTTGGACGGAGGCTGAGCAGTGGCAATGGGAGGAGAGGGACCACGGGGTTTTGTGGCACTCTCTCTTGGTGGGTTACACGAACCGAACGAGGGGGGTGGTTTCCAAATCAAACTCCTGTGAGGGTTGGGGTTAGTGATTGTGTGAGCGTGGCAAAGATGGAATTTTCTGAATACCCGTATCCAAAGAGCCAGAATTCTTCCTCCGGGGCTGGGGCTTCTGAGGTCGCTTCTTTTGACATCTTGGTCAGGTGTGTGCGTGTGGGAGATGTTACCGTGGGATCGTTGAATGAGAGCTGGGTTGAAAAGGCGTGATGACATAAGATTTCCCGGTCCTCAGGCTTGTGGAGGTCTTCAGTGTGGGAGGAAGACTTTGAGATACAAGTTGAATGTACAGTATCGATGAGATAATAGATTCGCTTGCCAACGGATTTTAAGGAGTTGAGGGGTCAAACAGGTGGGGGATATGAGGGGGGCTGTTACATTCACAGACACGGAGATTTTTGAGCAGTGTTGGGTACAACGTTGGGTCAGTCGATGAAATAAAAAGAAGTTCGGCTGGAGCAGTAGGTAGTTGTACAATACTGCAACTGCTCATCGGATGAAAAGGCCGGTACGAGTGAGTTTGCGAGTTACCGAATACAGATCTAGTACGGGGTACTTTTTAGAAAGGCTCGGGTTGTTGTCGCTTCATCTGGCCTGATGGAAGGACCAAGCTTTTGGCTTGGCAGTTGTGTTTTGTTCTCTTTAGAGGGGCAATGTCACAAACTGGTCCCTGATTTACATGAGTGTTGATTTCACTGAATCTGAGACGTCGAGGTCAGCAAAGCTGCAATCAGAAGCCTCAAACTTCGTACTGCGTCCTAGGTATAATGATTGTAACTTTTACGGGGGGTTTTACCCTGTTCTCCACTGAAGCCACCCTAGGTAGTAAACCTACTTCTACAATGATTACGCCTGGTACGAAGTTTATACTTCGAAGTATCCTTAGACAAACCCTCATATAGAGCGAGAAAATTGTGTTGAGTCACCAAATTTGGGATACCCCCTCCCCTGGTGCCCCGAACCTTGGCCTATCGTGCTGAAGGCATAAAAGGCACAAGATGCCCCTCTGAGGTACGCTAGGAACCATCAGCCAACCTCTCAGAAGCCAACTCAGAATCAACTTACTACTAGTACAATAAAAACCTCCTATCGCTATCTCAACATGAAGTTCTTCACCCTTCTTGTGTCCCTCAGCCTCGCATCCGTCAGCATCGCAGCAGCTGTTCCCGGTTACGTAACCGAAGGGCTGTTGAAGAGACAGGGAACGCCAACGCCGATACCCCTCTCGAATTGTCAGAGCATTTGTGGTACATATGTCAGTAGATATTTTTACTATCACAGCTATCAACTGTATACTAACTTTGTTTAAATGTAGCCGGTTCTAAAATGCGTTGAAGATGGTAATATTATTGGCTACGCTTGCGGAGTATGATTTGGGAGAAAAGGGATACTATGAGGGGTATTCGCGGAACCGTAGGCTAGAAGGCCTGGGTAGCATGTACCTTATATTACGATGTTGGATAAATTGAAGTCAGAAGCTATAGCTGACATGCGAAAATGCTTTTGTGGAGTTGTGAATGTACTTGGAAGTATAGTACTTTCAAAGTAACATTAGATCTTTTTGCCTGATGGGAGTTCTTATCCTGTTTTACAAAACACGACTCTGGGGTGGTAGAGTAAATAAAACAACAACATAAGTTACACGACACGTTGTGATTGCAACCAGGTCTCGGTCGCTTAAGCCAAAGAGGGGAGGGTACGGAGGTACTTGTAGGGCAGTCTGGCGCTGGCTCAGGTTGGTAGTAGGTACGGAGTTCTTGTACAAAAACTTTCCAGCCCGGGGTTCCTCCTGACTCCTGAGCGTTTCACCTGCTCTCTTTCTGCCACCCCTTCACTCACCTTGAAATACTGACTTCTGACCACTGGCTGCCGACTTTCTGCCCAACGGACCAACTGTTGGTGCCTCGTCTATCCACCCATCTATTTTAGTTGGACGGTAGCATTTAAAGTGGACGAACGATCGCTTGCGCCTCAAAGTCGCCCACCTCAAGTCGCCAAGTTCAGGGTCCCGCAACCGAAAGAGCGCTGAGTACTACGCTCGAGGCCGTGCCTTGCTGAAGAACCTCTACTCAGCCGACAAACCACCAACTCAACCAACCTCTCTGCCAGCACATTCCCATTCCGAAGAAACTCTAAAAACCTCAATCGCCACCTGCCAGCAGCCTCGAGGTCGCTGATTCATCCATCATGGCATATAACCGAACCTTCAACCCGGATTCTCTGCCTGCGTAAGCCCGCCCCTCCAAATCACCCCGCGATATCCAGCGCTGACCAGAAATTCCAGATTCGCAGAACCTGAACGGGTATTGATTCACCACTTCTACTAAGCAGAACCACTACTAACCTTCATCCACAGAAATCCAACAATACTCCTACTGCCCCATCCCACTCTCCAAAACCACTTCCGCAACACTCGCGACATCCTTCTCGGCCTCATCACAGCTCAGCCCAAGAAGCAGCGCACGCCCAGCAATACGGGAACAAACCACAACCACCTCTTCCAGACCCAAGACAAGCAGGAGGAAGAAGACTGTCTCCCCAGATGGCTCCGCAAGGAAACTACGGATATGGAGGTTCTGGTTCTCCGCCAGGCTCAAGCCATTCAAGTCATGGAGGATATGGCTCTAATCCAACCGCAAGCGGATATGGAGCTGCAGCACCAAGTTACGGCGCGCAGGCACAGAGACCTCCAGTTTCCAGACCACCTCCTTCTCCAGCACCACCAAATGGCGCAGACCCAGCCCTATGGCCTCTCTTCAAAGCGGTTGACAAAGACGGTAAGTCATTCTGTTCATGTAAAAAAACGTAATATATGACTCTGGCTTCTGACTCTACACTACAGGCAGCGGGCAACTTACTGAAAAAGAACTCCGAGCCGCTCTAGTCAACGGAGACTGGACATCTTTTGACCCTCACACTGTGAGAATGATGATCCGTATGTTTGACAGTGATCGATCTGGTCTCATTGGATTTGAGGAATTCTGCGGATTATGGGGATTCTTAGCCGCGTGGCGGGGACTCTTTGATCGATTTGATGCCGACAGAAGTGGAAATATCAATCTAGCTGAATACACGAATGCCCTGGTAGCTTTTGGATATCGACTGAGTCCAACCTTTGTTGGTACGCTTTTCCGAACATTCGACAAGAGAGCCGAGGGCGCGATCAGTTTTGATCTGTTCGTGCAAAGTTGTATCAGTCTGAAGAGAATGACGGATGTCTTCAAGAAGTATGATGATGACCGCGATGGATATATTACTTTGTCTTTGTAAGTGTTCTCCCTCCTTACCACATCATCTTTTCATGAAAAATTTTAATTTTGAAAATAGTGAGGATTTCTTAACCGAGATCATTCGACAGCGATAATGGAATAGAGATAATTATTGGGAAAGGTAGTAACTGGGGCTTAAGTGGGTTGAAGACAGCGACGCCAGGATTTGGCGCAATTTATTTTCTTGCATGACTTTTCTTCCTTTGTAGCTTGTTTTTCTCTGACGGACGACTTCTTTCTATCTTTGTGATATGAGTGGAAATCGGCTTCGGATATATAGACAAATGTGATACCCATATTACAAAACTGATTCTTCTAAGTATTCTTGATAGAAAATTAAGGGAATTCGGGGAGTAGCGTTTGGCATTTCTATTCTGCACTCTATATTTAAGTAGAAGGATGTGAACATGCAAGTAACACGTGTTGGGTCTAAACTACCACTGAACCCTTATAAAAACACTAATGTACAAAAAGCACCAAAAGCCCGTAGAAAGAGCGCTTATATCATATCAGACCAGATCCAGGAAAATTTAAAGTCAATTCCCAGGCTTATAATAAAATCGGTAGGAAAATCAATTGCGATGAGGCAAAAGGGGAAAGGGACAATCTAGCGAATAGTGAAGGGATATCAGGCATAGACTACACGAATCGATGCTGATATGTTAGATCGCTTGTAGAATACCGGATGTTTGTGCTTGAACATATTTAAGTCTAGATGAGGAAACAAAGTTGGATTTATTCGTTTGAGTATCGTGAAGGCGGGGTTTCAACCTACTTTTGTACACTTGTACTTTGGTATACGACCTCATCGCCCTCTTACTGGATATCGCTTAGCCGACCCAAGGAAAGGGGCTAGAAAGCTATAAGAAGAGAGAGAGACAGCAAGTCCCCTTATATACTAGCTTTCGCAAAGAGCAGCGATCACATACACCAGAGAAAGAACCCATGAATTAGCAAAATACTCCGTCTTAAACACAAGCGCAACCGCGCCAATCACCCAAAGCCCCGCCAAAAATAATACATATATGGTATCATACACTCTCCACCCCCTTTTTCTGCGTGATTCCCCGCGCGCGTACTGTTGTAGAAACCAAACATCCTAATTGCAAAAGCTATCCCGTGTTCCACTTTCTCATCGCGAGAAGAACCGTCCAATCATTCCCGTGGCCAGGTTACTCGCCATCCCCCCCGAGAGCAGTGCGGACCCGGCCAGATTCGATGCCTGTCCGAATTTATCGCAGCGTGAGAAGGCGAGGGTGTTGGTTACGGTGAGACTTAGTGCGATGACTGTATCCCCAGTTAGCATGGCGCCTTTACTTCCTTCCCATCATCTATCCTCTTCTATACCCTCCCATCTCCAAGTCCATCACTCCTCGCCCATGAACGCGGGGAAACAAAATACAAACATACCAACAAGCGTCAACCAAATAAACTCAAACTTCAATATCGCCACAAACGCCAGCGCAATCCAAAGCAAGGGCTGCGAATACAACGCCAACCAAAAGAACCGGCGATCCGTCGCGCTAATCCGCTTCGTCGTCGGATCCGACGACTCAAAGACCCAGTGCGAATCCCCCGTCTCGGGGTGCACTTCGTTCCACCACCGCAGACCGACGAGGCGTCGTCCCGCGATGTTTTTGAGGTAGTAGAAGTCGGCTGCTAGGAGGAGGATGGTGATGATGAAGATGAGGACACTACAAACACTCTGCTTAGCTATGACGTTCGTCCATCGCAGAGACAAAGGAAGGAGGGAAGGGAAGGAGAGAAATACAAGTTATCCGTGAATAAGATTCCTAGTAGGTAGACCAATAGCGAAGCTACCCATCATTTTTCTATTAGTTACGCCGAAACTCCAATGCACCGGGCCTGAATGAATGCCACTTACAGATTCGGAATGCGAGGAAGGTTAGCAGCGTAATGGGATGGGCACTGAGTCTCCAACTCAGAGACCCTTCGGCCGTCTGCGGATTCGACGAATCCATGGTTTTCTTGGGAGTTGCGGTTCGGGATTTCGTTCGAAATGGAGGCGCTTCTGGCCTGGCGTGTGGTTGTTGCTGGATGCCGCAACCTGTCCAACTACCCCTGCTCGCCCTGTAATGACGGGGGAACTTCGGATTTGGAGAGGAAGGGATTGGAGTCACGTGGATGTCTGCTGTTGTATTTTCCAACTCAGACTAGCAATTGATAAACATACTCCTATATCGAATTTTGAAGATCTGATTGTAGCTATTCAGACCTCAAAAAGAGACTCCTATTCTATACTCTTAGGGCACTTGCTTCGAAGTTCGTACTTATTCCGCATTTGGGTTTCTCGCTTAACTTGAAAGTAGAGCATTCTAATACTAACGTTAGTGAACGATTACAACCAAGGAGCAATATTTTTGACCAACTTTGTATTAAACATATAGTATAATAGATCTACAAAAGTCGATTCTCCTCCTACGTCGAGCAAAAACCACTCTGTGTCTTTCTAACCCATAGCTTGTAAAGCTTAGGACAGATTGGGAGGTCGACTCTTATACTAAGGTTACTGCTACAAGTCTTGTACCCTTGTTTCCGAGAAAGAAATAGGGTGTGATTTCTGTTTCCACTTGGAGACAGAGAAAGTAGGGATTTTGAAAATCAATATGGAGGATTTTCAGGAAATTCAGATGATAGCCGTTAAGGTACATGTAGTTGATTAGGAAAACTTGATATTAAGCAAAAGTCTTTGAATCACTCACCTCCCTCGGTACACAGTCGTTACTTTGGTTCAAAAGTAGACAATAATGTTTCATTCAAAAAATCCTTCAAAACTATTCCTTCAACAGTTACGCCGTCAACGCCAGCCATTCCACCCACCAGGAGCAAATCACCAACGCCATGCCGCAAAAGTCAACTAAACTCGATCAATCAATCATTCATCACTATCATCTTCGAATATGGGAGGGGCTTTTCGTCTTCTACCACCAAAGGCAACAGGAGCTGGATCAGAACCAAGTTGTGTTGCTGCTCGAATGGTAGACCTCGGAGTCTTGCCAAGCGATTGCAGATCCGGAAATTTATCATCGTCATCACTAGTATCTTGTGTTGACACAAAGAGCGGTCGTTTACGAGCTCCTTTCTTTTGCCTTGCTGATGGCGGACTCGATGAGCGTGTCAAGATACTTCCTCTAGGGACTCCGACGCTAGAGGACATACCATCATGGACAACGAAATCCTGTAAGCTCCCAGAATCATCACTGTCATCTGATATCTCTTCGCTATTCGCTAAATCGTCACCCTCTCCCTCTGTATCGTCGCCGCTTATTTCTTGCCGATTTGTAGCCCCAGGGGTTGCCTCCATGCCGCTTCCTGGATCTGACATAATATGAGTGTTCTTTCTTCTATTGGCCCTTAGTGCTTTTTTGGGCTTTGGTGGGTTTCTGGGTTTTGGTGCTGGCTTTTTAGGTCGAGAACGAGGAGGCGCAGCTTCCATTCCATGCTCAATCAATATCGGAATATACAATGATCCTAGAGAAGGTGGTCTGTCTCCGTAAGGCTTTACGAACCGGTCCCTAGGGTTCTGTGATCTTGCAAGGGTCTTGGCCAAGTTCACAAATCTCTCTGTATATTTTCCATGAGAAACTTTACTTGTCGGTCCCAATATCCTTTGTGATTCCGGCTGGGCAGTCAAATCAGGCATTCCGACTTCTTCAATTTCATTTCCTGCGATGTTTTGAAACCGTTCAACGAGTTCCCTGGTATCTTCCTGACTGAGTAGAACTGACTCTAGGGGCACAATAGGAGACAGCTCAGACTTGGGCACGGCTTTTGGTTTGGGTATCTTCTTCACACTCACACCCATGTCGGTCAACGTCGTGCCATTTCCCGACATCCGTGAAGCCGACTGAAATCCTGTTTCTACCCCATCTGGCATACGAAATTTCTTCGGCGGCATTTTTTTCTTCGTGGCTCTTCGCTTTGGCTCGGGTAAGCCTGGATTTTGTGTATTCTCAATAGGAATTTCGATCATTCGTTTGTCCACTTCAGGCTTGATACTTTTTGGAATGATACGAACAGAGAGATCATGTCGGAAATTGAAGCGTTCTCCTGAGCTAATGATTTTCTGCATCTGTTCGTAATTGTCCTTGGCTTTCGCGAAAGAGTCCTCCTCTTTGCCACGCATCAACAAAAGAACAATCTTTCCTGCGCGTTTTCTTCCAGTTCGACCCATCCGTTGCAACATTCGAATGGGAGATGCTGAAGCATCGTAACAAACAATGAGGTCTACCTCACCGATATCTAATCCTTCCTCACCAATCGAAGTGGCTACAATGACATTAATCTTCCCCTTTTTGAAGTCTTGAATTGTCTCGAGCTGCTTTGCCTGATTCATGCCCTCGGAACGCTTGGAATCAGCTTGACCAACAAACACAGATGCCCGGACCAGCGGTTGGTGCTGATTGAGTATGCGGGAAATCTCCTCAGCGCTATCCCGAAATTCTGAGAAGACAATGACTCGGGTCGCTGATGGTGGCATGTCTTCGCCTAGTCTTCCTGCCCCAGCATCCATGAAATGATTCAAAATCGTATTGGAAAGTTCTGTGAGTTTGGGGTGACTCACAAAACCGTCTCGATTGATCCATGTACGCATATAGTCCATCATCTTTTTGAAATCTGCGCTTTCCAAGATTTCAGTTCGGTACTTTGAAGGCTTATTACTCTCCTCGACGCCTTGTTGAAAATCCTTCATATACGAGTAGAACGGCCCAATCCCATGGAAGTTTAGCAGCTTTATGCCATGTGCAATGCCTGAAAGGACAGTAAAAAGTGCATTCATCATACCTTTGAGTCCAAAGTTTGCACTCTTGCCAGCACCACTACTGAACCAAGTTTTTCTGGCTTGTATCATGCCATAGGGTGTAAGTGACATCGGATCTTTATTGTAATAGCCGTTTTGGGCGCATAGTTTAAAAACTAATGGTTGCAAGGCCTTGGAGAGATGCTCCTTGATAAGATTAATCTCTTCTGAAGGGTCTAGGGTGATAATCTCGGTACTTCGGGTGTGAACATATTGTGCAATATCGATGGATTCTTCTGTTCGGATTTCGACCTTTGAAACTTCCAAGTTGTCGATTACCTCTTGCACCGCCTCAACACTTGCACCTGGGGTTGCAGTTAAAGCAAGGATACGAAAACTCTTGTTGAATCTTCTCAAAAACTTCACGACTTTAACGTAGGAGTAATTGCCAGTTGCACGATGTGCCTCATCTACTACAAGCAAAACAATCTTCTTCGGATCGGCGATCCCAGTTGACAAATCGTTCTCAAGTGTTTGTGGGGTCATAAAAAACACTCTTTTATCTGTCCACTCCTCGGCTCGAAGTGGCGGTGCTTGCTCCCCAGTTAGCATAGTGGTCTGGGACTTTGGTATTCCAACCACGCCAAAACAAGCCTCTACTTGTTGTGCTACCAGGGGCTTGGTGGGAGCCACAAATACGATCTGAGAAGCTTTGGTCCAGAGAAAGTAGTTGAGCATAACTGTAGCTGCAATGAGGGTTTTTCCTAATCCGGTAGGGAGTGCTACAAGGAGGTTGTTGAAAAGACCATTTCTCACGATACTAAATTGATAGTCTCGAATGCTACCGATATTCATGGGATACACCCATTTTGTGAGGGCTTCCTCGTTGAGTTCATGGTGAGTTGGGGCTTCTGGTGGTAAATCAACAATGAAGTTATGAACCTTCCTGGCCTGCGAAGCCGGCACTTCGACGGGGGCCTGACCACCGAAAAGAGTAGTCTGACGGAGACCATTCTGAGGTGCTACAAGTCGCTGCCGCGGTGGGGGGTGGAGCTGAGTGGGTCTTAAAGGTGAGGATCCTATAAGTATAGGCTCCTTGTTTGCTGGTTCTGGCGATGAGAAGGCATCCGATGGCAAACCATCCAATTCCCTTGAAAAATCGTCAATCTGCGGTGGTGTCTTTGGTCGCGGTCTGAAAGAATCAAATATGGTATTCTGTCGCTGAGCAACCGCAGATTTGGGTGCTTCGGGTCTTGGTTTTCTGAATATCGGGCCTCTGATGCGGTACGGACTGGAATCCGGATGCCCATCCGCCTGCGTTGCGCCCACAATCTTTGCGGCCGGGACTTCTCCAACTCCTACATGAATCTTGTATTTCTTCTTCTTCTGTTTCGCAGACTCCTCATCGTCTTCGCCAGACCCCCCCTCATCGTCTGAATCTGTCACCCTCGGCCGCTTGTTTAGATGTGACTGTGGCAAACGACGCAATGGTGGTAAAACTTGGGAGGCTTGACTGCATGCATTTATAAAGTCCTCATCTGAAAAGTCGCCGTAGTCGTCCTCATCCATGATTGCGACGTTAGTTGAGGCAGCATGTCTTATCGAAATATGGCTAGATGACGTTAAATGGTGAAGGTTTGAAGACGCGATTAAATCGCGTGCAAGGATCGCGCCTCCAGTCCGTCACGCCCCCACGTGACATGGTGCGTAGGGACAAACGAGGAAGGCACGATAGGACTATGATTTATATATTTTTGTTACGTAGACAGTCAGAAGGCCAATAGGTGCTAGGTAGATTTGAGTATATAGTCTTTTAATTTGATATGAGTAACTAGAAGCCACGGCCACTTCTTTTGGCGATAGGCTTTCTCACAGCACCGTGGGAGGCTACCTTTTTGACAGTCGATGGGACGACTGTCTTTCTCGTACTCTTGTTACTCTCATTTTCCAGCCTCTGTTCCTCCCGCAATTTATCCTTGGCCATCTGTGCCTCAATTTCCATTTTCTTATTAAATTCCACTTCCGTAACTCTCTTTTCTCTTGCAGAATACCCTTTCTCCTTCACCGAGTAGAATACGCCACCAAGCTCTGCAAGCCAGTGGGGATCAACAGCTGTCACAGTTGACATGTATTCCTTAGAAGTAAGGATCAGCTCATGGTAAACTACGTAATCAGGAAGATACCCCAATCCATAAAGAGCACTCGTAGGGTGTAGCTGAACAGTCACACTTGTTCTGAGGTTAACGTATTCGCCGATGCCTTTGACCTTTGCCGCTTGGTGATAATATCCTGAGCAAATACATTTTCGAATAACATCCCAATCGGTACCACAACCAATCATAGACATTTTCTGCATTTTCATGATATCCAGCAGCTGCTCCCTGATTTCCTTTGCTCGGCGCAAAGACTTGGGATGCAGGAAATGCCGAGTACACCAGGCATCAGAGTAGCCATTCATTTTCCACTGAGAGTAGACATGAAGGTATGTCAAATGATCGGACTCTGGAACGAAAAACTTTTCACGAGCCGCGTCGGATTCCTCCTGGCGTTCCTTTGGTCTGTAGAAGACACTAGGAACAGATAACATAGACACAATCGTCAGCATTTCCTCGCTACAGCCATAGTCCTCTGATGTAATAAGAAGTTTTGCCAAAGATGGATCCATGGGAAATGCAGTCATTTTCCTGCCAATACCCGTCAAATCGCCAATGTTGTTCAAAGCCCCTAGAGCCCAGAGATCGAAGAGGGATGTGGTAATTGTGTCTTGGGGCGGAGGGTCCATGAAATCGAAGTCTAGCAGATCCTTCACTCCCAAAGATTTCAGAAGTAGTACAGTGTTACTGAGATTGGTTCGCTGGATTTCAGGAATAGTCTGTATGTACAACTCATCCTTAAAAGCAGCTTCGGTAAAAAGGTGATAAGCTTTGCCTGGTCCAGTACGGCCAGCCCTACCAGCTCTTTGGGAAGCGTTCGCTTGAGAAATCGGTGTGATTTGAAGGGTGTCCATACCCATTCGTGGATTGTAAACTTTGAGCTTGGAGTACCCAGCATCGACAACATACATGATACCATCAACAGTCAAACTAGTTTCCGCAATGTTAGTTGCGACAATCACTTTCCTGACTCCAGGTGCTGCTTTGTCGAAGATCTTTGCTTGGAGATCAGCAGGCATCTGACTGTATATAGGCAGGATGCTGAGTTTTGGAGGATCGTTAAGGGCATTAAGCCTCTCTTGTACTAGCTCGCAAGTACATTCAATATCTTCCTGGCCAGTCATAAACACCAGAATATCACCAGCACCCATCGAAACATGGATTGCTAAGACTTGCTGGACAGCCTGATCAACATAGTCCTCCACCGGCGAACGATGAAACATAACATCAACCGGAAAGGTACGACCAGGAATGAAAAACTCTGGAGCTCCGCCATAGAAATCAGAAAACCTTTTTGAGTTCATAGTTGCAGACGTAACAATAAGCTTGAGATCGCGGCGGCGGGCGAGGACTTTCTTAAACAATCCCATCAAAACGTCGGTGTTCAAAGCCCGTTCGTGAGCTTCGTCCATGATGACACAAGAGTAACGATCAAGATCTGGCTCATTTAGAGACTCTCTCAACAGAACTCCGTCGGTCATGTATTTGATGCAAGTCTCCTTGCTAGTACAGTCCTCAAATCGAATGGCGTACCCCACTGTACTACCAAGCCCGCATTCCATTTCTTCACTGACACGTTTTGCCACACTCATCGCCGCAACTCTTCGAGGTTGCGTACACCCTATCATGCCCAATTTTGCATATCCATCCTCATACAAAAATTGAGTCAGCTGCGTAGTTTTTCCAGATCCGGTTTCTCCAACTACTATGACAACCTGGTTGTCACGGATCACTCTTAACAGATCCTCCCGAACAGCAAATGCTGGTAAATACTCTCGCTGTTCCTTGAGAGATTTGCTTTGACTGAAATTACTGGCCCCTTCATTCTTTTTCATATGCTGCGCGAATTTGCTGTTACTCTGTTCCTCTTCTTCCCCAGGCACAGGAGCAGCACTGTCTCCTTCGTCTTCTTTGACACCCATCAAGTTTCCAAGTGCGGTTCCTGCCATGTTCGTGGCTTCCTGTGCCTGTTTCTGCCTTTCTTTCTGTTGCCGTCTCTCCTTTACAACCTTACTACCTTTACGGCTGAATACAGCCATGTCGCTTTGGTTGTCTCGAACGGCTGGAACAGGTTCTAGCTGTTTTGAAAATACCGTCTTGCCATCTAAGAATGGAGGTTTGAGATCATGCACGAGTAGATGCACTCTAGTAGCTTCTTCATCGTCCTCAAAATCATCCCCAAAGTCTCTCCTCTGAGCTACTCCTGAGGTGAGCATACGATTTGTCTCCCAAGCATCAACATCCTTCTGCTTTTGCGAAGCCCGAACGCTCATCCGCTTTCCAGTCTTCTTCTCGGTCAATGCAGCTTCGCGTTGCTGATCCGCCCATGCATTGTCGTAAGAACCAAATGGGTTGTGACTATCATCTCCAAAAGTATGGCCAAATTCATCTCCATCGTACCAATCTCTATCCAATGCCTTCGAATCCTCTTCGTCCACGAATGGCTCAGGGCCGTCAAATTCGTTTTGGCGAGGGGTTGATCCGGGCGTGGAGCCATATCGCGATTGCCCATAGGGGGTTGATGCTCGGGAACCATTTCCTGCTCGACTTTGAGATCTTGATGCTATCGTTTTTGGAGCGCGGCTGTGCGATGCTGGTCTCGCAGGCACAGCAAACCGGTCATCTGATCGCAGAGGGTTGAAATCCAGCCTGCGGCGTTTCGGACTATGTTCTCCTTCATCTCTACCCATTTTGTTGTTGTTGTTTAGTTATGTTGTCGCTTCGTCGCGGTCAGCCAAAAATCATTGTACACTTGGCTCGAACCCCTGTTAACTAGCCTAGCCCAGCGAGCCCAGCAGCTAAACTGCCAAGAATTCACCCGATTAGATAACGAAAAAAAAAGTTGTACCCCACTTCAACTCTTTTCAAGGCTTGCTCTGGACCTGTACAAACTTGTCGCAACGTGCGTCTCGAGGATTCACAATGTCAATGATTACAGCGACCGCGTGGGTGCCCCGTGGATTTGCTGCGCCATTCCCTACCAAGTATGCATTCGACGAGGACGAATTTCAGCGCATCGCAGAACTCGCAAAGCTTCAACTCGACGACGCGAATGAGGATTTAGAGGCGGCTAAGAACCAGGCTGGACCGCGCGATGGAAAGCACAACGACGACGGGGATTCCGGTTCTGATGCAGAAGAAGTACCCAAAACATTGAAGTCGAACGAGTACGTTACTCAGCGACTTCCCGCCATGTTGTTACTAACACAGATTCACAGGGACGATGACGATGACCTCAAAGAGTATGACCTCGAGCACTACGATGAAGATGTTGAGATGGACCAGGAAAAGCAGGGCGATGGTATGGGCATGTTCGGAAATGTCAAGTCGCTCGCATACCACGATTCCAATGAAGATGACCCATACATCACCATGGCGGCGAATGAGGAAGATGACGAGGACCGAGAAGAGCTTCAGATACTCGCAACCGACAACATGTTATTGGCAGCAAAGATTGAGGATGAAGTTGCACATCTGGAGGTGTATGTTTACGAGGACGAAGCCGACAATCTTTATGTTCATCACGATCTCATGCTTCCAGCGATTCCTCTGTGTATAGAATGGCTGGATATTCCGGTAGGGAAAACAAGCGTGGAAAAAGACTCGAGAGCAAACTTTGTGGCTGTGGGGACATTCGATCCGGATATTGAAATATGGGATTTGGATACTGTCGATTGCATGTATCCAAATGCAATTCTCGGACAAGGAGGGGAAGGTGCAGAAGATAAAAAGAAGAAGAAACGTAAGAAGTCTAAGAAGGCCAATGATGACCACCATGTGGATGCAGTTCTTTCGCTTGCCGCCAATCGACAACACCGAAATCTTCTTGCCTCCTCTTCAGCAGATAAAACTGTCAAATTGTGGGACCTGAACACTGCCAAATGTGCCAAATCATACACTCATCATACCGATAAAGTGTGCGCGCTTGCATGGCATCCAAAGGAGTCAACCATCTTACTTAGTGGAAGTTATGACAGAACAGTCGTTGCAGCGGATATGAGGGCACCCGACGCAAAAGCTCCAAGATGGGGCGTCGAGAGTGATGTTGAAAGTGTTCGATGGGATCCACATGATCCAAATTATTTCTATATCTCAACTGAGAACGGTATTATCCACTTCCATGACATTCGAAATATTCCATCGAGCCCTGCAGCAAGCAAACCCGTTTGGTTTCTCCAGGCACATGACGAATCCGTGTCGGCTTTCGACATAAATCCAGTCATTCCAGGTTTCATGGTCACCGGTTCTACAGACAGACAGGTCAAGCTGTGGAACATTCAGCCTTCTGGGCCCACGATGGTTGTCAAACGAAATTTGGAAGTCGGAAAGATCTTCTCAACGGTATTCGCCCCAGACGAAGAGGTCGGTTTCAGATTATCGGTTGCGGGCAGCAAAGGGGTTGTACAAGTTTGGGTAAATACTTCCACCAAAGGTTCGTCATGAAAACTAACAAATTTTATAGGATACATCCACCAATCCAGCAGTCAGAAGGGCGTTCGCAGATAGAGTGACTCCGGTGGAAGGGGAGATCAAGGAAAGATTAGTTGGGGTTAGAGACGACAGCGACGAATCGGAAGATGATAATGAACCCGAAGGAGAGACAGAGCAAAATGGAGAAGGGGGATGGGAATCTATGGAAGAAGATTGAAACGACCGAGATGATGGGGAAAAAAACTAGAAATTCATGCCGAATTGGCCAGTGAAGATCATCATCTTTCAGGTTCCTGCAGCTCATCATTATATCCAGGGATCGGCAAACCTGGGTTTGAAACCAAGCCAGAAGTACAGACTTGAGGATATGGGGCAATATATTCCGCAATGGGAATACTTGCAAGACGAACAAATGTGTGGTTGTGTTCGATTTTATGGATAGCGGGGTCTTGTTATGGCATAGGTACTGACAATTTCGAACGTTTATGTGCATGAATGATAGTCGGCTACGATAATACCCCACTCAACCAAATCTATTTTCAACCATCAATCGCGGATCTTGAACCGAATTTTACTGCTTGCCAGTTAATAGTGGACTGAATCTGAACGGAATATGGACAGATGACGCAACTCATGTTACCCAACCACCTGCGGCTCCCAGGCCTCTTGATGGCGCCCACGTTGATGCCAACAATAGCTATTTTTGGCTATGGGTCAATGTGTACTGTATGTGCGCTCGTTGTAACGTTCTGTAAGGCAGAGGATGGCTCGTTCACCGACTAACTGAACAATGATGACTGCAGGCGAGGGCGTTATGGCCATTTTTCTGAATCCTCACTGCCTCAGTCAGAAAGCGGTTCCCTCAGAATTTGAAAAGAAATGGAGCATCGAGAGGTAAAAATGTCTAATATCGCTGTACAAGGCCAAGCACAATATCTCGGTCGGACATCTCTCATTCCCTTTATATGAGTCCACACATGTCTATCCCAAATGCATTCCGGTCACAATTATATCGATATTCATGATCATTTGGCCGACTCGTCTGAACACTGACCAGCGGGTGCTGCTTTTCCTCTCGCACTTGCATTGCATACAGTAGCATAGGCGCGCGCGGAAAAATACCTGGGACTCTCTGCTGACAGACGGGGGATTGGCCGGGGATGGGTTGTTTCAAGTAACAATTGGTCTGCCAATAATAAACTTCCCTAGGTTCCGTTTCGACTTGCTTGGACGGGAGACTAGACTGGACCAGCGGAAGTGGTCCCGCGCATACTGGTACTCCGTACCCTCTCGTCCTATGTTGCGCGGCGTCTTTTGTTTCTTTCATGGGATATTTCGGATGGCATCAATGCAAAAAAGAAACCCCACGGCGCACGCCCGAGGTGACGAGTTTTCTTTGTGTTTTGCGATCAGATTGATTAATGAGATCAGATGCAAGAGACCTCCACCAGTCCACGACCAAGCATCAGAGATGCGCTAAGTCATGGACCCGAGTGCCCACGCTCCCCCGAGGTCCCTCATCGTAAGCCTAATCCCAAAACTCCGAAGTACGATCCCTACCGAGGTACCGTTCCGGGGGACGATTTCCGTCAGAAGTAGATTGCGGAGGGGAGACGGTAGTTTTTTCGTCTCTTTGGCTTTTCGGGGGGCTAATCGGGGCCAGAATGTTGAACGCGTACGCGAGCGAAGTTCATTCAGCATGCATGACCTTGATTCATTTTACATGCAACACCATGTCTGTTGGCACAGTTATGGTGGTTAGACACAGAGACACAGTTGAGAGCACCTGCAGTTGGCGATGGGCATGAAGGCCGTTCAACGCCGTTGGTGTGGCTAAGGTTGCTGTGGTTCCGTGGTTCCCTATAGCCCCCTATAGGCAGGAACAGGAAAAGGAGAAGCACCGCAGCTGCAGTACACATGAAAGTGGTATTGTGTATTACGCTGACGGTGGTTTCTTCTCGGTAAGGAATTCTCGCGTATTGGATACTATGAAGTACATACCTAGGTAGGTAAATTTACTTCGTAGGTAAATTTTTATCTCCTCTGCACCCACACCTAAGAAACCACCTGGTATCTTGGTATCCTTTTCTTCGTAATAATTCGTAATTGAGATCTAAATGTTCCGGTGGACTACCTAAGGTTTTCTCCATCACATCGGACATCAGCCACCTGCCCCAATCTGGTTCAGCAGGGCTCCTCAAGGCTTCGGTTGGCTCCATTCGCTCCCTCTTGCCGCTTTGTGAGTACCTAGGTAAGCTTGTGGCTTATTCGTGCACCCTTGGTCCCTTGCTATCAAGGCCCCACTCTTTCGTAGTTGCAACTTGCAGTGTGTGTGTGGATGTGGAGGCATCAAATCCGCATCCTTGTCATCGAGCAACCCCTGCCCCGCGTCTGCCACCCCGGTCCCTGCATCGCCTCGATGTGCCTTCCTTTGGTTTCCCTCTCTACCTCCTACCCTCCCCTCCCCCCCTACATATCTCCTCTTTCTCCCGTTCTCAAAGCTCGTTATAGCTTCACCCCATTCACAACAAATACATCGCACATCGCCTGGCCGATCACTTTGCGCATCTTACATTCCTTTGATTTCGAGACTGGTTGTTCGAAATACTCAACAAACACAAACACAATCCCACACCATACCCATACACTCCTTCTACTCGCTCTTTCCAACTCAACTTGCAAACATATCCAACTTTTCAAACGGAAGCTCTTTGCTCACAGGACTGTGTCCACAACACCACAACACCACTGCACCACAATACTTCGAAACACTTTCAATTCCATTGCAAGCTCGTCGCTCCACCACTACATATATACTCACGCAACTTCAGTCACCAGCACCAGCATACCAGTCACAGGATCTATCATATTGCTGACCCACGACTACGAACGCGCATCCATTCCATCTTTGAAGGGGATTTTCGTCATAAGCCATCATCACAAGCACCTTTGGCCTTCCAAGACTCCTTCCTGAACAGGTCAAAAGATCGAACTTGCGTTAGCCTGTGATCCATCGACCAATAGTCGCCAAGCTCATCTGCACCTTGCCCAAATAATCTCGTTACATTGGAGCAGTTGACCCCACTTTCGACAGAAAATCCACTGTTGTACCAAACCACCATCTTTGGCTAAAAAGGAATTTATTCCCCGCCTTTACCCAGGAATTTCGGTCAACTATTCCGTTCAGCAAAAATGTCACTTGCACGAGCTTTCACGACGAAGCGGAGTAGGGCAGCTTCAGATGTTACTGTCCCAGCAATGCCGTCAAGAAGCTTGACGACGAAGAAGTCCTTGGGTTCAAACAATATTAGAAATAAAATCTCTGCCCCCACCGCTTTGCTTTCGACTACCAATATGCTTTCATACACCGCACCCGACATCTACCCAAAGACACCGTCTTCGATGACTTCAAGGTCCTCAAATTCCGATGATGATTCGGCTTCGAACCCATTCTCGCCTACAGCTTCGATAAATTCCTCCGTCGCCTCGTCGTCGCCAACATCACCCGATCCAAACCATCTCTCCTGTTACTTTGGTCAAATGCCTCCAAAGGTTGATACTGAAGAAGCACCTACAATTCCTCAGCGAGCTGTTTCACATACCAAGAAGAATGCCGAAATTCTAGCTCGCAAGCGCTCCATATCAGGAAACATTTCAAATAAGAGTATCTCGACCGTCAGATCATCAATCAATATGTTCTCCTCCGCTGCAGTAGATAGCCCAGATCACCCTTTCGGAAACGAGCTCGCCAAAGTCACTGAGATTGCTGAAGATTATGGTATAGCTCGGGAGAGAATGACCGTTGTAGATGAGGAAGAACAAGAGCTTGTCTCAAGAGGCTTGTTCAAGTTCCAGGCAGAGGATTACATGAGCGAGATTCAGGGATTCATCATAAGCGCATTTGGCGAAGTCAAACAACCACCCATGTCAGCGATGTGGATTTAGACTTGGTCTACAATGTTTTCTCTTTTCTCTACGACATAATACCCACCGATTTCGGACTTTCACTGTATATATTCTTTGACCACTTGGTCACATTCTTACACTCTTTCACGACAATTTTCTTTGCAAAAAAAAGATACCAGTTTGGTTGACGGGGTCTCTGGGAAAGAGATGAGGGAGTTTATTTGTGGAATTTGGGCGACAATTGCAAGTTGTCATTGAAGTGGCTTGGTTGTGAACGCCAGTACTGGCATACATCGTTTGTATGACTATCTACGCTCTTTACGACACATTTTCAAGGTGGATCTGCAGCTAGCCTGCGATCACATCACCTACTGTAAACAGACTAAAATTTAAATTCTAAACATACACATCATTTCATCTTCTCTTTGTTTCAATGTGTAATCGTGGCTGGTCTCACAAAGGTATTATTATTATTATTATTATTATTATTAGCAACACTAACACTTGATGTGACGATGTCTTTGACATGAAATGCGGGGGGGTTTGGGGCGTCTGCACAGATTTGCAGTTCTGTTTTGTATATCTTCCGATCTTGCAGTATTGCAGAAAACTAATGCCAAGGGCATGCCACCATAGGACATGCCGGATCTTCCTTGCAGGAAACATTTGGATCTTTTGGGAATGGGATGGGATGGGATGGAATGGGATGGCACTTGGCATATCTCAAACTCCCTCTGTCTGATATTCAGCGGAGGGCGGGAGAACTTTTTGTTTGCTCGACTTCCCGCTGTGAAAAGGCGGCGTGAGGAAAATCTTGGTTGTGAAGAATGGAATAAGTGTCAGTTTGTTTGGTGGACGATGTTATCCCCTAGATTATCCTCGTAGTTTTTCTTGACAGGATTGTTGATTGCATGATTATTGAATTTCTGCAGGGTGGAATTCTTTTGTTTGATATTCCTCTTCTCCCTATTTTGGAGCGTTTGTCCGATGTCTGGGCCGAGGGCTGTGTAAGTGGGATCCATTTATGGGGCGGCTTGAAGTCACGTGAGGGCTCTAGGACTCCGGTCCGGACCCGGTCTCAGAACACGCTAGTGCGAGTTTTCCAAGCTGAGAGCCTGGAAAATCTTCAAAAGGCAGCACAAGCCTACAGTTTTAAGAAATTCCCGGATCACGACTGCTAACACAGCCTCAAGCAAGCAAGCAACAACCAGACCAACACTCGGTCCACTACCTAGATATATATATCTCAAACGACACTCTACAGATGACCTGTAAGTTCCCGTCTCTTTTCTTTGACGCATCCATCCTGGTCGTTCCCCGTCCGAACACAACATCACCACCGACTGTAACAATTTTATTGTTATCCCTCTACATGATGAGATCCCATCAACCCCATATCATATCTTTAGGAAGAGCCGTCTTAGGCCTGGCATTGTATCTGCGTGTAGATGCGCGGGCTTGTGTTCGGTATCGTCATATGCGGCAGGTCTTTTCGCGCTGTGGATGTGCTGGCGGTGCTTAGAATCTGGGTTTCTGAGATTGAGGATTTTGTGCTTGTGGTGGTGTGTTGTTTTTTGGCTCGGTTGGGGACGTGGTTTTGCTGTGGAATTGGATGCTAATTCCTCTGCAAGAACATTTTAGGATTCACGGAAATGGGATACGAGGTGTCTTGTTGGTTCGACCTGAGATCCTGAAATAAAATCGGAAGGATGGCGAGGAGGTCGGGGCTGTGTCTTGAAGGATTTCGTTTTCGTACTTGTACCTCGAGGCATGGTGAGGTTGGAATAACCTTACACTTAACGTCCGACCGTGATGCTACTGGTATTCTGCGATGCGGCTCAATTATTCATACTTTGGCAGATCTTATTACCGATTTTCGAAACGCCTTTGATTTGCTCCGAGTGTTTTGGAAATCATGCTTGGAAGTGTTGATCATACTTGCTCTCCCATGGATAGACCTAGAATTCTGCGGGTGGACATCCTGAAATAGATTGGGTTCCTGGCATTGCTAGTGCAATCACTGGAATATCCAGACGGTGGGATCTGGGGTTTGTCCGTACTCTGGTATTGAGGAAGTTGGGGACTCGAAAAGGTTACACATCTGGGTACTAGTAGGTGCTTTTTTTTTCCTTTATGTTTACTTGGCTCGTTTTTTAAGATTCCTAATGAATACTACTTTACTTAAATTATCATGACCATGAACCATCCGGAAAGAAGTGAACTGGATTATATTGCTATTACATTGCTACATTGAATTTCTGATTTATCTATAACTCACGAGTAATGGAGGCTTCAAGCGCTCTCACTCGCAGCTTACGTACACTTATCAGATTTGGTCGGTTACTGAAAGTAGAAGTTGAGGAGGCTGAACCTCGGAAAGCCTCGCCTCCAGCCTCGAGATACTAAATACCTAAAGTAACGTCCCAGTCAACAAAAACACTTCATATTATCATCATGTCACCAAATTCAACCCCAGATATCCCTAACAACGAACCCGCAGTCCTCTTCCGTCCCTCCAAGAAGCGCAAGATCTATCGTCAACGTGCCACATCCCCTTCACAAGACTCTCCACCCCCCGTCACAAGCCCAATCATCCCCGCGCCCCAGAGTCTCGATGAACTCATCAGCAGCACCGCACAAGATGTCGACACGATCGCGGAAGTAGACATGGCAGAGATCCTCAGACTGCGGAAGATCCAACGGAAAGCGAAGGGTGGTGTGGAATTCCGAGCGGGGAATGCTGGTGCAACGAAAGAGAACCAGGAGCTGGTCGTGAGAGAGGAACATGTTGAGGGTGGGTTGGAGGATGGAAGGGGTGTGGTTCGTAAATTTGCTGCGCAGACGGGGGCCGTGGGCGATGTTAATAAGCATATGTGAGTGCTTCCTTACCATAGAGTATTGGGTGTTGCGGGATTGTGACTAACGATGGAAGGATGGCGTATATAGATTCTGAGATTGCTAAGCGTTGTCTGGGCGAGATGCATATCTCTACACCTGTTTCTGCTTCTGACCCCGCTGGAGACGCGGGAGTGGCGCCGGCGAGAAAGGCCATCGCGGAGGTTAATAGACAGCCTGCTGCGTTGGGGAAGCTGCATGAAATTGATCTGGGGGATGAGGCGCGAGATAAGAATGTCGCCATGACGAACCGCGCTACTCGACGCTTAAACGGCGAACGTATCACTGAGCAGAGCGCGGGGAGTAAAAAACCTGCCAAGGTACGGCTGGGGAGAGATGGGAAGCCATGGCGGGGGAAGAAGAGACGGGGGAGTGATGATATCCGTCGAGATCAACTTGTCGACGAGATTCTACGGGAAAACAAACGTATGCTACACCACATATCCTTCCTTATGTACCTATCGCTAATTGAGGGTAGTCGAGATCTACGACTCGCCCTCCGAGAACGAAGCCCCGCCTGATGATGATCAAGCTGCTGATGATCGGATCGCCGAGGCGTTCAGGAAGGAATTCATGGACTCTGTGGCGGCGAGGCAGAGGAAGCAGAAGGTTGGACCGCCGGCGCCGACTAGGACTGCGGGAGGGAAGAAAGAAGAGGTCTTGGCGGGACCGAAGTTGGGTGGGAGTAGGAGTGCGAGGGCGGCTATGCGGGAGACGATATTGAAGGCTGCTAAGAAGTAGGTGGTGTCGTTGATGTTATAGACTCTTTCTTTGGAGTGCTTCCATGTTATTGATGGAATGTACCTCGACCTTGGTGAGGAGCGAGTGGGTGATTATAGTTACCTTGGTTTATGAGCTGTATGTATTGTATGGTATGGTATGAAATCTTAATTCTTACCTGTGTGTCCTTTTATTTAGTCGGGATGCTGTTATTGTGTAGAATCTACATTACCAGGATTATTGCCAATAATCCAAAGACCCCCAAACCCTCCGTCAATCGCTATATACAGACATGTTTCCTCCTCTTATCCAGAGCGTTACTACCCACAATCACTCAGAAATCCAGACACTCTTACACCAAGCCCTCCTTTGGTTCTGCGAGATATATCTTCAACCGCCCTAACAGCTGGACTTCATAAAACAAACCTCGAGACTACAAGGGCTCCTGTTATCCGTCCGTCTATTGATTCTTGAGAGGAAGAAATGAGGGGAAGAAGGAACTTGATTTATTGTTAAGCGAGGTTTGCTCTATAGACAGTAGTCGGTATGTTACAATAGTTTCACGTACGGATACTATAAACATGTGTAGTTATATCCGCGTGTTGGGATTCTTACCAATGATCATAAATTCTCTCTTGATCAAATAATATTAAAAACCCTATAACTCATAAAGAGAATCTAATCCGGTAATCTTACTGTGTGAGAGGATACCGTAGCCTAGTTGCATAGGTAGGTCAATAACAATTTGCCGGGGGTATTACTGTGTGAGAGGATACCGTAGCCTAGTTGCATAGGTAGGTCAATAACAATTTGCCGGGGGTATTACTCCCCCTTTCCCTTCCCTTAGCCTACATTCTTAATTTTGATCTCATGGTAAAGGATTACTGCTCGTCGTAAAAGTTCACTTTCTGCTATAGAGGGATGATCGGAATACCAAGGAAATAGTGATCCTAGAGAATTGGATATGTAATCTCTCCACCATCCCAGATTTCTGTGCGCTCTCGTTTGTCCCCTACCTAGGTTCAGGCTATAAAATATAAAATAAAGCTCTGGTCCTCTTTCTTTTTCATTGCTACCTAAGTATGGGGATGCACAACGCATATCGGAAGGAGGATATATAAGTACAGTACTCCCATTCCAATCACCTATAAACTTGTCAACAAGTCTTTCCCACAGTACGCTCTCGCATATCTCACAATGGGAATGTCTCATAGCGCACTCCCCCAATTTCTTAACACTTGTACCTTATTTATGAGATCTCTAGCAAGATCTAGACGAGCTTTGGAGCAAAAGATATAATATACCACAGCTCGCCTGATACTCCTCAGCATTTTAGCAATCATCGAAGTCCACCTGGGAAAGCTTGTAACATTCTAGCATGAGTATATTCAGGTATAAGACGCGACTAATAGTCAGGGAACTATTTACTGGATGGAATGATAGACTTGGAAGAACCGAGAACTCAACCAAAACTTTGGAAAGACCACAAGAGCGGCCGTTGGTTACAAGAGAAAACTTACAGGCCAAGAGATCTACAAAGGGTATGGAATTCAATTTTTTGGATGGCCCTTGTGCTATCCCTTCCCCATTTTGTTTGCTAAGCCGAAAGCTCGCTTAATATAGACAAGAAAGCTCCCCAAGGCCGTCAGTCAATCATGAGATTGTGGTGAGATAGCCCCATTTGCTCATATCCCTTCAAATATTCTCCATTTGAAACTGCGTCCCATCATCGCTCAAAGCCTTCCCAGCTTTCGAACCTCCGCCCCTCCCTTCAACCTGCTCCGCCCATCTTTCCGGCATAATAGCCTTGAAATCAAATGTTCCCTCTGGACTTCTGACGACCTCTCCTTTCTCCGTGATGATAGCATCGATCAAATCATGGGGCGTAACATCAAATGAGGGATTCCATACATCAATTCTCTGATCTGCGATAGCCACTCTCTCGTTGTAATTTACATCCACCTTCCCATCTTTACCAACCACAGCACCTGTGATCTGAGTAAGTTCGGACTTGTTACGGTCTTCAATCTTGATGTCTGCTCCAGTCAATGTTTCTAGGTCAATGCTAGTGGTAGGTGCCGCAACCACGAATTTGATGCTATGTGCTTTTGCGAGAACCGCAAGTGTGTATGTTCCAATCTTGTTTGCAGTGTCCCCATTTCGAACTACACGATCGGCACCAACGATTACAGCGGATATGTTCTTTTCTTCCTTTTTTCGTGCGAAAAGTGCTCCAGCCATGGAGTCGGTAATGAGAGTTGAGGGGATGCTTTCATATACGAGCTCGAATGCCGTCAAACGGGAGCCTTGGTTATATGGTCGGGTCTCGGTGCAGAAGGCGTGCTCAAGGTAATTCATTTTTTGCAGACTTCGGATTATTCCTAGTGCGGTGCCATGACCTGATGTAGCAAGAGAGCTTGGGAGAGTTAGCCTGATACCTGGACGAGATAAATCAAAGAGTTCGTGTACAATAATGATTGCCACTTCCAACGATCTCCAAACGAAAACAGACATACCCAGTATTGCAATGCGTCAATACGCTCACCTTCCTATATGTTCTATCTGGCAATCCCTGCGTTCCTGGCGGACTCGTAGTATAAAACCTCAAATCATCACCGACTTCTGGGCTCTCCACTGGCTGCTGTTGTCGCCTCAAATACTCAGCACCATATCTACCGATGGCCAAGTTCGTTGTATAGTCATCTTCCAGAATCTTTTCTGCCGCCTCAATAAAGACTTTTCGGATCTCGGTACAGGTAATTTGTGTATCCGAGGAAGAGGAAGAGGAGGATGCGAGAAAGGTTTTGTTTTTGAGAAGTTGTATAGCGTTATGGAGATCGACTGCAGTCGGTCTGCCGTTCATGAGGTAGTCTAGTTTGGAATGGATATACTTGACAAGCTCTTCCTTTCCAGTTGAAGCTAATATCTGTAAGTATACTCTCACAGCAAAGCTAAATAAACTCTTACCATCTTTCTTTTTATCCAGCTCCACCGCCAATGCCAATGCAGCGACAATAGCAATAGCCGGGGCCCCTGGACCAATAACTTAGCCTCCACCAGTTTGCCAATCACCTATGTAGCCTTGAAAATATACCTCTCACGCGCATTGCCTTGATACAGTCGAATGCCTCCTCGCAAGTCGAGACATCGTCATAGACGAATTCATGTGGAAGGCGAAGCTGATCAAGAACTTCAAGTTTGCCCCTCTCATACTTGATGGCTTGCAACCCCGCCATTTCGAATTTTGTACGTGGTCAGCTCTGGCTGCGCGACAATGATGTTTGTATGCGTGATGGAAACACAGGTGCTGGATAGCTGAATTTTAAGACGCAGTGAAATTCGTGTGATGGATTGGAAAATCAAGTGACGATTGATTGATTGTGCTTGTAGGGACAAGGCAAGGAAAAAGTCAGGTTGATGAATAGTATTTCGGCTGACCGCTTGGCAGAACCCACCCCACCTTCCGTATTGAGTATAACAAAAATCTCTCCTCTTTTGCCACTTCATGTAAGGGTCACCCGCCGTTAAATGAATAAGTTAGCTGTGGATGAACAGTATACGACGGAGGGGTTGTAGAGTGTTCCTGTGTCTTTCTAGGATGATATAAGTCATTGATCTGTTTTCACTATCTAAGTCCAGTCAGGATATTAAAAACTAGCCCTTTGGGCGGCTGCTACGGATAGACTATCCTCCTGTATTTGAGCGGTAGAAAAGAATAATACTCGTCAAAATCACCCAAATAGGGACCTTAACCGAGGGGACGCAGCAAGGCCATCGCTATGCTACTGTAGATCATAACACCATAACAGACATCAGCATAGACTAACTTTCAAAATTTTACTTTTGTATTCGCTTAAGTGAAGAGAAAATCATTTGGTATCTATACTGATGCTGAAAATCATGGCTCATTGTATTGTCGGAAGAACAGTTGTAAAGCTACCGCGCGGCTTCACACTTTCTATACAAAATGGTAATCGCCTTGAAGTCAGAAATAACAAGCTCCATACATAGCAGCGCCGTCCCGTTTTATGGTTGCAGAAGTACCTTTAACCGAGACACATGCCAAGGTGGTTTTTCTAAGCAACTTTTAATAACATCTTCGGATATTGTGAATAATGGATTGATATCAAGAGCCAGGTGGATGAGCTCTGCTGTTGCGGTTGACAATTTCACCTGCTTTCAAAAGTGCACTAACTGGATCCAGATTGTTGTTGTCTTCGGTGGAGTTCTGCAGAACGTACTCTCGCACCCTTGGATCAGGTCTATCTGCGCCCATGATGTTCTGCGGAGCGGTATTGTACCCTCGAATAGGAGCCATGGAGGCATAATCAACAGGAGGGAGAATTGCTACATCTCTACTTAGTGATCATCTTTCAAGGGAAGGCAAAATGCACTTACTGTTCGGAGACTGTTGCGGCATGTGTGGTGCTTGAGGTGATAACGCTGGCGGTGGGAAGGGTGACAACTGACTGTCCATAGAACCAGATGATTTCTGGGAAAACAGTGACGGGAGTGTCAAAGGAGGCCGCTCCCCCAGAGGCGTATCCAGAGGCGTGTGGGGAGTATAATAGGTCGAAGAGGCGGTACTTACAGAAGAGGTTGATCGGTTCGTCGAATCCGATGTCAACAATGGCGGAGGGTTGGTTTGGCCGGTGCCTGTGCGACGATTGTGTTCTGGACCAGAAGTGCCGGCATAGCTTGGAGTCCGGTCGTACACGCTCGCGAGCGCTGGGAGATTCTGCGTGGTGTTGCCATTCTCACGCTGCCCTCCAGATTCTCGCCATGGAAACTCGTGCGTCTGAGCCGAGTCGTAGATCGAGTCGCGGTAGCCCAGCAAGACCGTGGGCGACGAGACATTTGGTGACATGTTGGACTTGGGAATACCGGCTGACTGAGGATTGCCTACGCTTATGCCGTTGCTGGCATTAGGCTGCGGTGGAGGCTGCTGCTGCTGCTGCTGCTGCTGCCACTGGCCGTTAGTGGAACCCGACGATTCCACCCGGGCCCGGACCGTTAGAGCCTCAGTACCAGCACCGACAGCGACACCAACGCCAACGCCAGCACCAGCACCAGCAGCCGCATGGCTTGTGGTGCTACTCGCAGTTCCGCTACTGGTGGTGCTATGATTCGCCTCCAGTTTGGGTCGCTTAACGACCTCTAGCTCTGATGCTATAATGAGTCATTAGTCAGCACAATTCGGCACTCCCACGCCTCCGATCACATTCAACGCACCTTGTTGCTGCTGGGTTTGTCTGGCCTTGAAGTTGGCCAGATATTGGGTATAGTCGCGGTAGTTGGCCGTCTTTTTATACTCGGCAAGCTCATTGTTGTATCTTTCCTTGGCTGAGAAGGCTTGTTGTTCATATGGATCCTTCTCCGCCGATGACAGGTTTTGCCAATTCTCTCCCACGAGTTTGGCTATCTCGGTAAAGGACAAATTCCTGCCCCTGAGCTCCTCGCGCATTTTATTGGAGAAGATGACATATGCGGATGGGGGCCTCTCGGGCGCATTCTCGTCTTGTTTGGGGTGCCGTCGATATTTCCTCTTTGCTCCTTGCTGCTGGCCGTTGGTCTCTTTGCTTTCAGTCTTTACAATTCCTGATTTGGGCTCTTCTACCTTGTCTTCGCTTGGCGTGTGTCTGGGAGACCCCAGTGCAGCTTCGGAAGCAACGCCTCTGGAATTTGCTATTTTCCGCTGAAGCTTTCGCCGGTGGCCAAGCTTGACCCCGAGTGCATCAAAATCGGATTCGGTGATGTCGAGGATAGTGTCCCAGCTGTCAAATCCTTGTTCGAGAAAACATTCAAGGTATGATGAGATGCCCAACTCAGCAAATATTTCCGCAAGATCAGTCATACAGTTGGTTGCGTCTGGAAATCGTCCAGGACTTGAGATTGATATATGGTCTTTCGTCAGGTTGGTTGTAAAGTGGACGGGCGCTCATGTATAGCCACAGCCGTCTCTATTCTGTTGCGTCTCGTTTGTGGTTACTTTTCTGGGGGAGGCACAATAGTATGTGAAGGGGGTTTCGATCTCAGTTGTTCAAAAACCATCGGTGTATACCACTCGCTCTGTTCGACGGCTTTTCACGTTCCACGGCACATGCAAAGTTCCTTCAACACGGGGTCAAGTAGAGCGTGTCCCTTGCCCATTCAGAACGTTCTCAGGAGGGGGCAACTTGGCGGATCGTTGGCTGTGTAGAGCTATGCGAATAACTTTGTGTAATCCGCAGCTTTCGGGGACTCGTTCGTATGCGTAAAGAAAAGGTATGGAAGGAGAGAAAGAACAAGTGAGGCTTTGATCAAGTAAGCGGGGGTACACAACAAGAGATATGCAATTGTGAATCCACTTTGGGGAAGGCAGATCTCGATATGGGCGTCAGGGATTGCTCTACCTCGCTCTCCAGCAGATTCTCAAGAGCTCCGGATTGGCGCAGGAGCTCGAGAAGGCTGCAAAGGCGGTTTGGGGATGAGTGTTGTTGCGAATTATGGCAAGAAGTCACGGCTGGAGAAAATGAATTGCATGCAGCGTGGTGTAGTGTTCCTTCAGGCTTGTCTAGATCGCCTCGTCGACTCGAGTTTGCATCTGGATTATTCCCGGATGGGTATGTACACGACGAGGAGTGATTCGCAGGATGAAAAATCCGGTGGTTGAGATGGAAACCGATAAAGTGATCCGTGAAACAGAATCCAAATAAGAACAGGAATATAAACGGAGGCCCTTCGTGTGCGTGGCTCAAAACAAGAATATCAGTATGGGAAGAAATGGAGACGGGGAGGAGAAGACCAGGCAGGACCAGGACGTGAAATGGACGACATCAAATTGGAAGAAGGAGCCCTCACGCCCTCAAGCCGGCACCTGGTGCTGGGCTGGTGGCATCCATGGCATGGCATGCTATGCTATGCTGTTCAGTGTGTGCCCACTCCACTTTCATTGTAGGGGGACTTTCCAATTGTGGATCTACTGGCCATGGGCTGGGGAGGAGAAAAGCGGCGCTCGAACGAGATGTCTCAGCTTGTGCCGGGAGGAGGAGAGAAGTGCGTGAGCTCTTTTTGATGCTGTCTCTCCGCACTCGAGGAGACGGGCGAGAGAGTCCCCTTGGAGCCCCCTTTCCGGGACGAAGGGCACTGCTCGATGGCTCGCCTACTTTACCGAAGGGGCCCCATTGGCGCTACGAGTCGCTACCTGTACAAGTCGCTACAAGTCGCTACGAGTCGCTACGAGTCTGTGAGGGGAGGGCGCAGGCGGGCGACAGCTAGCACAGGAACTGCCAAAATATATCGAGCGCTGCTTTTGCAGGACCCGCCAGAGCTCCAGCAGAACCAGATATTCATCTCGGGGTCTCCTATGCCAGACTGGACCAGCTTCTGCGATGGGCTTCTAATTTTCGATCAACGCTACCGACAGACCCGTTTTCTGCCCTAAAAGAATGCTCTCAGGCCGCTCATAGGCTGCCACCAGGACAGGTAGCACTCCTCCTCACACCACAGCTGCCAGGGCCGCATTGCTTACTTGGAGTCATGGAGAGCCACCGGACACGCCAGTTGGGATGGTGCGTCGAGAAAAACCGAATAAAACCCCTTGAACCCCGCGCCTGGCATCTGGTGTTTGGAAAAACTGATCGGTGCTGCCGATCGGAATCGGGCCATTTCCCGCTGGGCAAGAGAAATGCGATGATGCCAAACCGTCGTCGCAGATGGGATTGGGATTTCGCATCTCACAGCCTTCACAACCCTTCCGGAGTCTGTCCCGCAGCCAGTCTTCAGACACAACTCTACACGGCAAATCCTGGGATTCCATCGCAAAGCTGTGGAAAGCGGTCCAGTAGAGTCGCAGCGGTATCATAGCAATCCGAGCAATGGCAATGGTACGGGCGGAGGGAAGTACGAAGTAGATCGTGAATCGACGGCTTCACAAACATCACGGTGCTCAAACCCGCCGCCAGATGGCCACGGAGCTGCTCCCGAGGTGTTGCACTGTCTGCGGATAATTTGCACCCTCTTTTAACGGCTTCATAATTCCAGTCATGGAGAACAACCTCTGGACACGACATATACAATACTGTGCGTACAGCACAGTACCATACTTCACAGTAGTATGTGCGAGTCGAACGTCCACACGCCTCCGGTCGCCACATGGGATACTCCTTCCACCGTCGATCATATTGATTCTCGTTGTCAATCAGCACTTGATGAAATACTTGAATCTCGATGATGCCTGGCGCATCCAGTTCACTGGGATTTGACAGTAGCACGACAGCTTTGTGTTACGCTGCACTGCACTGCATCTGCACTGCGGTTGGAGTGCTCAGGCAGAGTTCAGGGACCGGCGTGCAATTCCGAAGCATTATCGTCCATGAGAAGAATGTAAAGTCGAAGCCAAAGACTGGGGTAGGGCATCACCGCAATATACTATCATCTGTTTTCATTCAGATGATGGGATGAGGTGCCTCTTCGTACATTACTCAGGCAGCACAACACACCCACAATCAACGATGTCCCACTTCAGGCGTGATAGCAAGTCTTCGGAGACCTCGGCGGGGAAAACTATGCAGTGAGAGTGCTGGAGAGTTACCTAGGTATGGGATATCGAAATGCCATGTTGAATAAACGTTTCTTCCGGTGAGTTTTTCTTATCAAATTCAATGATAGATGCCAAGGTGACGGGATATCCCCAACCCACTTTTCCTGCTTGGGAGAAAAAGTAATGGCCAACCACTCGGAAATCCGGGTAAGAACAATACCTTAAAGTGTGCTTCAATGAGGGATTATGATCGGAGTGTTGCACTTCATGCTATCTCGAACGAATACCTCCAGTGCCAGATCACCCTGCCATGGAAACCATATATCCACTGACTCGAGGTCTGCATGCATATAGTTATTTGTACGAAGTATAATTGAAAAGATCCAGGGAGTTGAAGATTTATCTCGCCGGTCAAACTCCATAAGGCGAAATCGAAACTTGAAAACCTACATAGTAGATCCCCCAGCCTCTGACTGTGGGGAAAAGGGAAAGTGCCATACTGTATTACCATGACCATCCAAATAATTTTAACGACCGAGGAATGGGAAGCGGGGGAACAATAATGAGGGGAAAAGATAAACGTGATTGTCAGCTCTTATACATCTGGAGCAGTTCTCTACCGGTAGGTATGTTCTCGAAAAGATATGATATTCTTGAGGTGACAGTAAACGGATTTTGCGGGCCGGCCCTTGCTATGTAAGAGGGAACCCGCAGGGGAAACGCTTGAAGGGCTGGGACTTCACGACGACGCGACTGACAATAATCTGATAAGATCCGTTCCGTTTCACCCTAGAAGACTCGTAGAAGATCTTTCGCAATTTCTGCCAGCAACCTTGGCACAGAACTTATTTGGAAGGTTGCCGATACTCTACTCCTACTCGTAGTATGTTCACTACCTAGCTTTCAGGTACCGGAGAAACTCGCTTGCGTATCCAAAACAAACCAGCAGCATTCCCTTCTACTATACTGTATTCGATATCAGTACTTCCGCCCTCGTCCCCACGAGGAAGCTGAAGCCTTCGAGCAGCTTCATCGTATCCCATTCATCAATATTGGTCTGATAAGTTCATGCACACCACCATACCCCACGGCAATTCTTCTATACTGTCAGCGCCAAGTGGCTCGTAGCCTGAAGAGAAGTTCTTTACCAGAAGTTCAACTCAAGCCCCCCTTTCACCTCTCTCCTAATCTTCTACCTATCCATTAGAGTTACTTGCCAATACCCAATATCACAAGCCAAAGCGCTATCATTTGGTCAGGTACAAGTAGGGATGCAGAGCAAGAGCCCCACTACCGGTCGGCGCTTAACCAAACCTCATCTGGCCGGCAAGCCAACGAGAAAGCAGGCGGCTACAGTCACAACCAGTTTCTGTGGATAATATATGACGCCGCTGAGGCTGTAGCCAATCACCAGTCTTTGGAGCTCACTCGCTTGCGCAAGCCCAGCCAAAAAGCCCCAGCAGAACTCCCCCAATCATTCCCAATGCGATGCCATGATCCGTCAAGCAGGTCCACCCACCAGCACCCGTCTCTCCTCCATGGGAATCAGGGCTGAGGGTCGAAAGATTTCCTTCCGTCATAAGCAGAGCCTCTCTCGAAACTTCGCGCAGCCAACACGATCTGACCTCTCAGCTTGAGCTCAAGTCAAGTGCAAGCTCTTCTCACGACTTTCACCCCTCCAAAACCTTACCCCTCACCTCCCCTCATTGCGGTCGCCCTTTTGCGACCCCAAGCCTTCAGCTATCAGCAGAAACACTTGGACCTGATACACCCCGCATCGCATCGCATCCGCACCCCATCCATCTGTGCCTCCCGCGTTGACGACTCCAAAAATAACAATCCGTACGTCACGCAGCAGAAATCCTTCATTGGATAACTTAACCTTTCGTACCAGGCCATGGCAGGCCGTCAAGGAAGACCAGATGAGGAACTTTTCCTCGGTAGACCGCATAATGGCGGCGATAGTCCGACTGTCGAGCCTTTGAGAATCCACAAGCCAAACAGCCCACAACCTTCTTCATCCGCCGGGCGTGGAAAAAACCCCCAGCTGTCGACGAAGCTCACGTTTCCACTGCCTCCCGGCGCATCAAGCTCTGCAAATCCTTTGCCTTATCCTGACGACGAGTCTGACGACGACGAGGATTTATTCCAAGCCCCCCCTCAGCCCCGACCCCACCGAGCCCTATACCCCGAAGACAGGAACCCCTCTCAAGGCTCGTATGGGATCGGAGGGGGAGGACAGAGACAAGAACAATCTAGGCCAGGTACAGGAGGAAGGAAAGAATCGATTGACACGGCTCCGAGATTAATGACAAGTCCCATCGAAAAGAAGGGCCCGGGTCTGGCAGAAAGACGTGGAACAGCTCCAAAGCCCCTACCCGAGTCCCCAGGTCCTGATCTTCCTGATAAGGAGGGGTTATTTGCAAAATCTCTCAGAGATCCTAAACCTCCACCCAAGATTGTTTCCTCTTCAACTGGAGGCCGGCGCCCATCTGAGGGAGGCAATCCTTATCCTGAGTACCATCAGCAGTATTTCCCCCCACCCGTGCCAAATCCTCCAGAGCCTTCAGATCATAACTTAGCCGCACCAACTCCCAGTGGAATGAATAGATTTGCGTCCACAGCATCTACATCTACCACAAGAGCTACTAGAGGCTCTCCCCCACCTCCCGAAACTCCTATTATTGGGCCTGGCGACCCGATAGCTGGAGGTGGAATCGAAGCCCGATATGCGGCAGCAGGAATATCTGGAACAGCTACGTTGAGTAGTCTTCACCAGCAAAACAATGCTGCTGCCCAAAGAGCAAATCAATATGGAACTCCGCCTGTTCCGCAGCTCCCCCAAACTCCAGGGCTCACTGCACAACAAACTGCACCTAGACCATGGACTCCAACAGAGCTTCCAGATACCCAACCTCACGGTCCACCCACAGTCTATCAAGGTCTAAATCAAGTATCAACCTCACCATCACCACCAGCACAGCAAAGCGGTAGTCAAACAAATATACCACAGACCAATTCCTTTGAACAAGACTTTCAACGCATGCAATTATCTCCATCACCTCCACCAGCTTATTCTAGTGTTGGCCCAGGATCAAATGGTGATAGTAATGCATCAAGCTATCCCCCAGAAAAGGGGGGTCGTGCTCCCGTCCCGGCTGCCATCAACACGATAGCAAAACCAAATATTGCTCCAGCAATGATGTCTCCAGAATTGCAGCATCCAGGACACCCAGCTTTTGCAAATGATGCAGCTAGAATACAAGCCGCTCAACCCCAACCAACTCCACAACCAATTCCCGTACAACAGCAGCCACAGCAGCACGTTCAGCAACCACAACCGCAAACGCAGCCACAACAGCAGCAGCCACAACATATGGCAAACTCGTCTCCATTCCAAGGTGCTGGACCATCATCGCCGCCTCCTCTTCCGGAAGGTTGGATTGCTCATTTAGATCAAAATTCTGGCCAATATTATTACATTCACTTGCCAACTCAAGCAACACAATGGGAGTTTCCCAAAGGCCCTTTGCCACTCAATCACGATACCGCCCCCCTCTCTCCTACCATATCTACTTATGGAAATCCTCTTGCTTCGCCTGGTCTGAGCCAATTTGGCAAACTGATTGGCTCACCTGGGTTTCCACCCCATACTCCTGGCTATGCCGAGAGCATCATGAGTATGGCATCTCAGACTCCAACCGCAGCTGGGTTTTCGGGTCCTCCACCAAGTGCTGGTGTGGACATGTATAAAATTGCGCCGACCAACGGAGTCTATTTTGGCCCATATCTCCGCTATGTAAATATGGACATGGAGAGAGGCTTGTGGTTGGGGACAATTATGCTTGTCACAGATGGCCCACAACCACCTACAATTCACATCCATAAAAGTGTTGATTTGTCTCCCGACCCGCGCCAGCTTAAACCAAAGCCAATATCCACTCATCAACGATGGACATTCTATCGATATGATGTAGACCTGCAGATGGATGATGGTCCTGGTGATAAATGGACTTATGCAATTACTTCGCACCTTGGTTGTACTCGTTACGAGTTCTTGGTTGCTGGTCGGTATGAAACCAATTGGAGGTTTATTGCCCATTCTGGCAATGATTTTGCTATGAATACTAGTGTGGCTGAGCGCTCCAAGCTTGGTGGGATTGGCTTTATGTGGAAAGATGTGTTGCAAAAGAATGTTGACTGCGGTGGTTTCCATGTTCAACTTGGACTGGGCGATCAAATTTATGGTGATAGATTATGGAAAGAAATCCCACTGCTCAGGCAATGGCTTGCCATGAGTGGAAAAGAGAATCGAAAAAGCGCAGCGTGGACTGCACGCCACGAAGAAGATGTAGCACATTCATATTTCCATTACTACACCAGCCATTTCGATCAACCATATTTGAGAGAAGCGTTTGCGCAAATTCCTCATATTCTACAAATCGATGATCATGATATGTAAGTGTTCTCTGCATGTCGTTTATCCAACGGTCAACTGACAAGTACCAGTTTCGATGGTTTCGGCTCGTATCCAGACTATATGCAATCCTCCAACATGTTCAAGAACATTGGGCGTATTGGAATTGAGATGTATCTTCTATTTCAGCATCACACAACACTCGAGATTCTTCGTAATGTCAGTACTGACGTAGATCTTTTCACCATTACTGGTCAAGGCTGGCATTTTGTCAAATATCTAGGGCCAGCAGTTGTAGTTATAGGACCAGATTGCCGCTCAGAGCGCAATCAGCGTCAAGTGCTAGCTGGCCCAACGTACCAGGGCATATTTCCAAAAGTTGCAATGTTACCTCCAAGTGTTCAGCATTGTATCTGGATGATCTCAGTGCCCATCGTGTACCCTCGATTGGAAACAGTGGAGAGCCTTGCCCACACCATGGCGACTGGCAAGAAAGCTTTCACGGGAACATACAATCTTCTTGGAAAGGTCACTAGTTCAGTAGCTGGTGTTGTTGGTGGAAAGGAAGCTGTAGCTTCTGGGTTCACTCAAGTGAAGAAAGCAGTCGGAAAGTCCGGGCTCATGGGAGGAGTTCTCAACACATTCGGTGATATCGATATTGCCGACGAGCTCCGTGACATGTGGACCCATGATTCCAAAGACCTAGAGAGGACCTACTTGATTCGAACACTTCAAACCATTTCCAATCAAAAGGGTATACGCATGACGTTTTTGTCTGGAGGTGAGTTGATCCAGGAATTCTACGACCAGAATTGCGCTAATGAACTTCAGATGTGAATTGTTGTGGGGCAGGTCTTGTACATGATCCTACCCATCCAAGCGACCATAAGACAATGTACCAAGTTATATCCTCGGCTGTTGTAGCAGCTCCGCCACCATCATACGTCCTCAAAATGCTTCATAACAATAAGCCACTTTACGTGCCTGCGAACGGTCAGAAATCAACGAACCAGGTTTCGGACACCAAAGAAGACATGATGGAGATCTTTCGAACAGACACCAGCGGCGGACCTAGAGAAATGAAGAAACTTATGGGTAGAAGGAATTATGTCGCTTTTGTCGCGTATGATCCGGAGGCTATCTCAGCTGGTGGCCAAGGCTATGCTGCTAGTGTTCATAGTGGACAGCAAGGATTGGCGAAGTTGAGTTTGGCGGTGGATTTCGTGGTGCAAGGGGATGGTGGATTTAGTGCTCCGACGAAGTATGGTCCTGTTATCATACCGAGTCTTGAGTTTGGGCGGTGAGCTTGATTCGATAAGATTGATGGGGTAGGAAATCTGGCATGGTCGGGCTTTAATAGTGATACATGAGTTCATGGATTTCATCATGTAAAGAAGGAAGCAAGCAGGACTTGATTTTTGAATAAGCATCTCAGGGAGTTGTTGGGTAGCGCTGCTGGGATATAGTTTCTGAGTTCATGCTTGCTCTTCTCGCCTCTTTTTTGGTTTCTGACATATCTCCACATAGCGAATAGATATGAAACTTGGATGATTTCCTGTAGAGTTCTTTGAGACCTTTCTTAGATGTTATGTTTCTCTTTGTATAAGCGAAAGTGGAGAATTTGAACATGCGACTCATATCTTTGGATTGACCTTTTGTCGATATATGACATGTCAAGATACCTATTCCTTCAAAGTAAGCTATTCTTTGCAAAGCGTCTAGTTTTAGGCTTAGGTCTAGATGCAATTCACAAGTTTGGTATTGTTTATTCTTGCTTACATTTAGGTAGCTTATTTCTCAGATGAAAAAGAATTGTTTTATGGGTGTTTAGCTGTTTATTCTTTTCTAGTTAAGTGAGAAAGATAGCGGTAAATAACTGTAGCCCTAGTTGATAACAAATTGGTAAATCCAGAGTGCTTTTCAGAGCATTCTATGAATTATTCTGTTGTTTCATACAGATCAAGAGAAGTACTAGTAAACAAGTGTAGCTTCAGTCAATAACAAATTGATAAAACCAGAGTCTTCTGTAAATTCTTCTGTTGTTTCGTACAGAGCAAACAATTAGACTACTCAGACAAACTTCTGGTGAATATTCACTGGCTAAAGTTCTCAAGGTGATATTCACAGATCTTTTGAAAAGGTAAAACGTGATTCACTCACCTCTGGCATTCACTCACCTTTGGCCCTACGCGTAGCATCCACTGTCTATTCACAAATTCTACTTATACTTGAATCTTGAGCCATACTTGAATCTTTCGCTCTCGCGCCGACTCGCCTCGCCATAGGTTTCCTGACCGCAGGTCTTACATGCATCGCACCGCACCAAACCAACCCAAACCAAACCATCAACAACCCTTCATATACACAACTGGCAAGCATCATGTTTGTCTCATCCACAAAGACAGCCGAAAAGTGGCGCCTACGTTCGACCACCAAGCGAGACAAGAATACACGCGGATACTATCCAGGAACAACGATCCTCTTCTTCCTTGCCAAAAATAATGACACTACAATTCCTGCCACCCTACAGTTTATTCTCAAGCAAGTCAATGCAGAAACTATTGTTGATGACGTCAAAGCAGATGGAAAGGTGAAGGAGAAGGAGAAGAACCTCTACACAGGCGAAGAGGCAATTCTGTATTTCCAAGAGAACGTTTTGAAGAGCGCTGTGGAAGAGGCAGTGGAAGGGTCTCCTCCAAAAGTCACCAGAAACGTAGTTCCAATGTGGGTGCTTGACGACGACGAATTCTGCTTTCTGCGTAAAGAAGCTGAAAAAACGGCACTGTGGCTAGCGAAGGTTCTCTTTGAGAAACCATCGATACCTCCACCTCCCCATTCAGCCGCTAGAAAGTATTTTTTTCAAGGACTTGAAGAAAGACACCGGTGCTGTGGGATTATATATTCCTCCCACTCCTCCTCGTGTTCTCATACCCGCTTTACCAGCTGGCGAAGAACCCAAGGTCATTTTCCATTTCATGCGACATGGACAGGCGAGTTGATTCATTTAACCTCAATATTTGCATTTTCTTCCTTATTAACGGAAATAGGCACTACACAACGTGCTCCATCACACCAACAAATCCCTAGTCGCCACCCTCCACGACCCAGCCCTGACACCCACCGGCCTCCTCCAATGCCTCCACGCCTCGCATAAATTCCCCTATCTCCACCACATCGACTACATCTTCGCCTCCCCCATGCGACGTACTCTCCAAACCGCCCTGGCAACCTTCATGCCCATCCTGAGTCTTGAGAAGAAGATCGTGGCCTGGAGGGAAATACGCGAGTTCGGCAACGGACGTCCAAACACTGGCCATAAACTGAAGGAGTTAAAGGAGGTATATGACAGCAAGAGAGTCGATTTGAGACTGGTGCCAGAGGGGTGGGAATACAATAGTGAGAACGATGGTATCACATGTCCTTGCTGCAGGAATTCTCGTCCTGAGCGAGTTAGACCTGCTTTGCAGATCTTGAGACGGGTGGTTCTTGAGGGTGGGGAGTGGAAGGGGATGCCGTTTAGGAAAGCTACGAGAGATGTGCATATTGCTTTTGTTACTCATGGGGCTTTTTTGGCGAGTCTTTTGCGGCAGACGAGTAAGTGGATCATTGCCTCCCTTCTTTCTTCGCTTAGGAAGGCTGTCTAGAGACTAGGGGACTTTTGCTGATTTTATGTGGTAGAACAATTTGATAATACGGATATTAATAGTGGGTATTTCAAGGATGGTAGATGGGTTTCTATTGGCTGGTATAAGCGTGCTTAGGAAACCTTGGGTGGGTGGGCACTTAGATGTCTAGGGGATACTTAACTGGGTAGCTAGAGCCTTTCTTTCTCTGAATTTATTTCATTCTTGAAAACTAAGATTCTTGATGTACAGAGATGTGGATAACTAGATTGAGAATAATTAGCGAGGCACAAAGAATACCTGGATGGCTCTTCATCTCTCCCCCCCCCCCAAGAGACATCACCCTCCAAGCACATTCAATTTCAACGGAGGGATCTAGCTCTTTGCAAAGGAATTGTTTATAAGATGTTTCTATAATACTTGCTCCTCACCAGTCTCCCTCGTTTCTATTTTTACTATAAAAAGCAAAAGGACTCTCCGAATCGCGAGAAAGCCCAGAAGTGAAGCACACTGATTGTGATACCCTGACTGCAACAATTCTTCTAAAACAGAATTCTGCACCACAGTCTTTCCCATCAACCCACAGTTTTCTGAATAATCTAACAAATCATTTACTACAGAATAGATTGGTAATTATCAAAAACCGATTGATCGCTTTACTTCATACAAGTAACAACACCGATTGTCGAGTGTCCCTGCAAGGACATCTAACAGAAATTACAGTATCAGGGCCCGGGTTTATTTTCCAACAAATAAAAACTTACAAGTTACAGCGGAGAAAGCCTCCCCTTATCTACTAAGAGGACTCTAAGAGCTTGTACTAATATGATACTAGCATCTTCCTTTCTCCTCATATACCGCATTTCCTGTGAAGGTAGGAATAGTTCGTGTCTATATAAATACATGGATACATATTTTTCATGTTCCACACATGGAGGATCTACAACGTGCTAACAACACCGTGGCGCATGTGATACTATGAAGTCCATGTAGGTATTAACACTTACCCACAGTAGCGTTTACATGTACCGTCTTCCGGATAGCCATCCTTTCGAATTGTGAGCGGTCAGTTGGTGTTGTGACAGGGAATAACAGAAACGACAACATAACCTTTTTTGACAGCAAACTTTTGGGGCTGGTCTTGTCACAGCACTCACTGATTTGCAATGTAGGGATATCTTACAGTGAGCAGCTTCTAAGAAGAAAGGAAATGGTTACCAAATCTCCTTGTGCACGAATAAGATGGTAGAGCTGTACCAGGGTCTGTACTTGCATGAGGTGAATTTATGATTCCCGAACCTTAAGGAGAAGTAGAGGGGTCAAAATTGTTTTATACTAGATGACTATCATTTCGAGGAACATTTTGCTTAGCAGAGCTCGAGGAGAGTGTATATTAAATTATTGATGAAATACTCAAAGCGTTATGAGAAGTCTGTACTGTCCAGCATCTAAGCTTCCATGAACAGTACTTACAATAACCACCTCAATCTAATATTACCTGAGACTTACCTTCTCAACCACTGTTGTTCGATAGAAAGGGGAGGACTCTTCAATTTGTAACGTGAGGTACTCGGTACAGGTGGGTATTAAATACCCTGGAATAACGCTAGTGCGTGTAATGAGTGAATATCAAACATGTCCAACAACTACCAACCACTATCCACCATCCACCACTCCAGCAAGTAAACGGACCTGTTACGGATCTTTCAAGTTAGTATATAAAAGCCTCAGAACGACTGGTCATCCCCCACCTCCCCTCTCCAACGATCCATAAATCATCCCCCTTCCAACCCATTCCACACCCCCAACTTCACAAAACAAACGCAACCTCACATTCGACAACACCTCAAACCCCGACAGCAACAACAGCAACAACAGCAACCCTCACCCATCGGCCCTCTAAACCCACAAAAGAACACAAAACCCTACTTCCGCTTCCCATACGAAACCCAAAGACCGCCACAAGACAGTCCTGGCATAGAGATTCAGCTCTCAGTTTCCAACATACAATCAGAAGGGTGATCTTGTGTATCGTTTTTTTTGTGCTTCCTGAGTCGGCATCTCGTAGTGGTCTTAGAAGTAAATATATACTTTTAGGATTTGGGGTTTACTAGTTATTTGGCTGAGTGTACAAGGAGAATGCCGTGACTAGCTAGTAGTTGAGCTCTCACAGTCGGGAGATAGTTTGAGTACTACTGACACTCTATTGATTCGCCTAGCGAGGTTGCGATCAAACAACTCCACCCTCGTCATATCCAGTCACCACTTAAAGCCATCGATAAAATAATCTCAATTCATAATTCATATTTACATTCTGGTCATGATCCAAAACTTTCCTCCCAAATTTTTCATTTCGTGCACTTCATGATTTCGCTAACAAACTAAGAATGAGTAGGCATAGAAACATCCGCAGCCTTGGAGATAGCATCCTCGCTTCTCCACAAGCTAGTCACAGTCTTCAATTGAGTATAGAATTGAAGTCCTGGTTTGCCGTAGAAGTAACTGGCACCACCACCAGCGATGGATTTCTTGTTTCCTGTGAAGGAGAACATGGGAAGGGGGACGGGAATCTGAAGTGTGATGTTAGTATTCGACAAAGTGATGGGAATGTGTGATGCTTACTGGTACATTGATTCCAACTTGTCCGGCCTCAATGTTCTTTTGGAATGCCGTGGCGGTAGCTCCAGATTTTGTGAAGATAGCAACACCGTTGCCGTATTCATTAGCATTAATAAGGTCGACAGCCTCATCCAAAGAGTCGACGTTCAAGCAAACCAGAACTGGACCAAAGATCTCCTCGGTATAACACTTCATGTGTGGTTTCACGTTTGTAATGATAGTTGGTCCAACCCAGTTTCCGTTAGGATATTTAGCTGGCTTGAAATCACGCCCATCCAAGAGAACAGTAGCACCCTCCTTCTCAGCACTGTCAATCAATGCCTCAATTCTTTCCTTGCTTTGTGGTGAGATGACAGGTCCAAGATCTGAACCCTCTTCAAAGCCTCCGTTAACCTTCAAAGACTTCGCACTCTCGGCAAGCTCAGTGAGCCACTCCTTTGTTTCACCTACCATAACCAATGTACTCAAGGCCATACAACGCTGACCAGCAGCTCCAAAGGCGGCACCAGCAATTGAGTTGAGTGCATGCTGTTTGTTGGCATCAGGAAGGACGGCTGCATGGTTCTTGGCTCCCAAGTTGGCCTGTACACGCTTTCCATTTGCTGAGCCTCTTGCGAAGATGTACTCACCAGCACGGTTGCTTCCAACGAAACTAATAGCTTTAACGGCAGGCTCGTCAATAATAAAGTCTACGGTCTTGGCTGCACCATGAACGATGTTCAAGACTCCAGGTGGCATGCCAGCTTTTTGGGCAAGCTCAGCCAGTATCATGGCAGCACCTGGATCTCGTTCTGAGGGCTTGAGAATAAGGCAGTTTCCAGTTGCCGTTGCAATTGGGATCGACCATAGAGGGATCATCGCGGGGAAGTCTAGAAATGAGTAAGCACAGTTAAAGGTATAATCTCCAGTTGACCTACTGAAAGGGCAAATGGCAGCAACAACCCCCAAGGGCTCTCTGTAACTTCTTGTCTCCATATCCTTAGCGACTTCGAGGACCTCTCCTACCATCTGTTGTGGGATGTTGCAAGCACCCTCAGCAACTTGTAAACCACGGAGAACATCGCCTTTGGCATCTGCAAATATATTAGCATTTATTCGGCTAAACGTTTCAAATGTGCCCTACCAGCAAAAGTCTTGCCTTGCTCCAAGGTAATACTAGCAGCCAGTCTGTCCCAGTTATCCCGTACCAACTGAGTAAACTTGAACATAATCTGCTGTCTAGCCATCACACTCGTCGCTCTCCATGCTGGGAAGGCCTTTTGTGCACTCTCAACCGCAGCCTTAAGCTCAGCATCGGTGCTTTGAGGAACTCGTGTGACAAGGTTATTCGTAGCGGGGTCGTGTAAGTCGATGAATTGAGTAGTTTCAGACTTTAGGAACTTGTTGTCGATGAAGTAAGGGGTATCTTGGACATTCGAGATCTTTTCGTGGGAGGTAGGGTAGTCTTCGGCGGCATATGCTGGAGCTGATGCTGACGCGGGCTTCAAGTGTTGTGCTGTGGCATGCAATCGTCTCGTAGCTACCTTGGTGTTTTCGGTAGAGGAAGGCATTCTGAATGCTGGCGCGGAGCAGCGTGGAACTACTCGCGCTCTTGCTGCGGCGGCAGGGAGGGTTCCCGTGAAAGCTCGACGCATCTCGTAAAAACAATTCTTTGGTGTTGTTTTTCAGAGGGAACAATCAGCCAACTGATCCCTCTGTGTCAATAATTGAAATGGCAATTGATCAGTGGTTGAGGGCTCCATTCCGAAGCTCAGCCCGTAATGGAGGGGTGGGTAGATACGGGGTAGTGGAAAAGGACGTGCACTCCCCCACCTTACAGTACCAAGCGAGCCAAGGTACGAGTAAGCTTCACCAAGGGAATGAATGGTGAATGCACAATAGCTCTGGGTACGAATGAGAGCGATATAAATACCAACGCGTGGGTGGATTTCAATACATATTTCTGGGATTTCGAAGTCAATTGGCATAGTCGCCTAGGAGCTTGAAGAGAATTGTATCCAGAGAGTTTTTGTAAAGTCAATAAGCTCGATTAAAAAAACAGTCTTCTGCCGACTGCCGACCGATATCGCTTCGCTTGGTTTGGAGACGATATCACTATCGCCAATGAAGCTCCACCAGCACCACTTATTCCAACCACTTTTGAAATATTGCTAATATCATTTTGTGTTGATTCCTTACCAGTTTCTGTTTTCAAATTGTGAAATGCTGGACTTACTCGATCAGCCCTAGATAGATGAAAGTCGAAAATTACCGAGTCTAAGCGGCTCTCATTGTGAAACGGAAAGCTCCGAATGAGGTGTATCAAGTGACCACAAAGCGCAGGTACGAGCGAGCTTAAGCTTGGAACAACCTCCAATATTTCAGGATCGCTCATCTTGGAGCTCCTCAATCCAATTATTCCAAGATGGTTCTCACCGAATTGCCTAATGAGATATTCCTCTTGATCGTAGATCAGCTGGGTCCTAAGGATCTAATTCTTCACCGTCGTGTTAACAAGCAATTTCACACGGCCTTTACGGAGAACGAGCTCAATTATCACTTTCTGCAACACCATTTTCCCAGAGTCAAGGAATTGAGACACGTCGAAGATTGGAGAGCACGTACAGATTGGTCGGAACAATTCTCGAGAGTAGTCAGACGCTATCATCACTTACAATCGGGCCGGCCGCGAGGCATTGAGATAGCCGGTCTAGGGAAATCTTTCATAGCCCCCACATGGTCCCGGTCATACCCAGTGGTTCCATGGCGACGACATTTACAATTCGAAGAGAAGACGGCTCAATTTCATTACCCTGATACGTTATGGACCTACGACGATGGACTCCTGGTCTTCCCGTCTGCAGAGCTGAAGAGTTATGCTGTTTATGACCTGAGTGCGAGAATATTAAACGAGATTGATATTGATTCGGGAAACAAAATTGTCAGAAGAATCAGACTGAAGGAGAAGACTCTTATCATTGAATGGTGCGAAACAGAACCCTACCACCAACTCAACGAATATGAAAAGGTGCACAGGCATTTCACGACTTCTTATGATATATGCTTGGACCCAAGGACTGGGAAATACCAATCGATTTTCAGGTTCATTCTCTCATCTCTAGGTCTCCTAATAGGCTGGACTAACAACGAATAGGAATGAATGGAAGATTCATTTCTTGGGCTTTCCATTGAATTCAAGAGATCGTTTCTACAGCACCCATAACAAAAATCACTACGCAATATACATATGGCAACCCAACCGGAGCGCTTGGGGAGAAGACGAGCCTATTGAAATGTTAGCGATCTGGGATATATCACGCCCATCAGCTTACCGTCCAAGTACTGACCCAACCGGAAACTGCAAACCGGCAGACGAAGTCGATGGACCTAATATAATTCGTCGCTTCACCTTTCTGGATCTAGGTTTCTATGGAATCAGACAACGCTCGAGTCCAACTTTCCGAGCGCTTGAATTGGATGAGAACCACGTCTACTTCATTTGCGAGGATCATAGATGGCTTGTTGGGGCACAGTCTAGTGATAGACACCCTCGACTTCATAAGGTGAAAAGTACAGGAATACCTTTTGGATCTGGACCGCATTGGGAAGACGAATGTGGAGCTGATGGTGATGTCAATCTGTCATTCTGTGAACGCAATTCGGATGATAGAAGTCCTGGGACAGCGCCATGTTGGCGACACGAGGTGAGGACTTGTGAGATTCGGTGCTTACTTCTGTACCCCCTTCGATTACTATTCATATCTCTCGCGGATAAGCACATTTATTGATCGAGAGAACATAAAGTAATCGAGAGACCTAGTCCTCAGTTCTTCTAAACCCTGAACACTAATCAATACTTCTCCCTAAAACTGTTACGGGCACATAATCAAGCTTCTTACCGCATATATACCACAGAGTGCTAACGAGAATCAAGGAATTCCCATATCTGACCATCACCGAAGCATTGGACGCAGAGGCAGGTGTCATATTTAGCGCAAGACACTGCTTCATGCTCGAAACAATATCCATCAACATCAAACCCAAAATCAAAATGATCGGTCCAGGTTATGAGATTTCTCTAAGAGATGGTCTCTGGCAACAATTACTTGGGAAAGGAAAGATTTGTGGAGACGAAAGATGGCTTATTGGGGAGAATACGCGGGATGAGGTTGTCATCTTGCATTTTGATCAGGAGGGTGGGAGTGAAGGTGGGATTTCTGCTATGGATCGTCTGGCGATTTGAGTGGTTTACAGTTCACAGGACTTTATTGTTATGCAGCATTGTTGAGTTATGCACGTACTCGGATGGTGAAAATATCTTCATGCACGCTCCCTTTTAGTGTCATCCTTCATATTGATCATCAACTTTTAAGACCCATATTCTTGCCGAAAACTCATGCATTTGCGTTCATCACTACATGGCACGAAATGATTGAGCCGTTGCGTTATTTTGATGCTGTCAGATCTTAGTATACAACAGCACTCGTAGAGTTACCAATTTAGGGAAGGTTATATCCGTCTTTACTTATGAGGTTGTCTCTTCGCGTGGTAGTCCCGTCTAGGTCTTCTTGAATGGGGTATATAGGTACTCAGTATACGCTAGACTCAACGGGAATAGCGAAAGCAAGCGAAATATTAGATGACTATCATGAAGCAGTGATTCTTTTGAAGAATTGTAAAGCTGGGGTACTCATACACCAGGTTCAAACAAGCTTTGCACCCCAACCCGGCATTGTACTACTGTACTATACATGCAGCTACATACGTTACCTACCGGCCGATCCGGCTATTACCTGCAGTCGATATACTGTAGTAATACCAGCCATAGTACCAGCATAAGTATATAACCTTCGCCAACATTCTATACAGTCTCACTCTTCTAAAGACTCTAGATGTGACTCGGAAGTTAGGGACCTCATAACAATGGTTTTCTTCCCGCTTACACACCAGATACCAATTCCCAACAAAGATATCATATCTTGGATATTCGATGATCCTAAATACTACCAAGATGAACCTGTGAGTTTTCCTCTCCGAATTTCAAAAAGGAAAAATTTCCTTGATATAAAGAGTTTTCTCGGGGCTAATTCCAACATAGATGTACATCGACGCCCAAACCCCCTCCCATTCTATCTCCCTATCCCAAGCACGGATCCTCGTCAAAAAACTCATAGCAGGTTTCCATTCAGCAGGTCTCCAAAAGGGAGATTGCGTCTGTATCCATTCCTTCAACGACGTACGTCCATCCTCCCCCCTCCCCTCACATCTCCTAATCCCTCGTACGTACTTAGATACACTACCCCATCCTCGTCCTAGGAATTATCGCCGCAGGCGGTGTCTTCACGGGAACAAACCCTTCCTACACGCCGTTTGAGTTAACGCACCATATTCAAACTGCGGATGTCAGGTTTGTTGTTACGCAACCGGAGATGGTGGGGAGTGTCTTGGAGGTGGCGGGGACGTGTAAGATTGGGAAGGAGAGGATTTGGGTTTTTGATGTTTTGGGGGAGGAGGTGCCGGATGGATTGAGGTCTTGGAGGTCTTTGTTGGGGGTTGGGGAGAGGGGGTGGGAGGGGTTTGATGACGAGGTGATGGCGGGGGATGTGGTTGCTGCTAGGTTGTTCAGTATGTTGTTTTTGATTCTGTTGATTTTCTTCTTCGAATACTTATGAGGGTTTCCGGATTTGAGGAAGGAGAGGAATTTGAACTCACATTTTATAGGTTCGGGAACGACGGGCTTCCCGAAGGCGGTGGATATAAGTCACAGAAATCTCGTTGCGCAACATGTTCTCACACAGGAAATCAACAAGAAACCATGGAAGGTAGATCCATTTATCCTATTTTGAAGCCAGGGAACTAATCAATCATTTCAGCAAATCCGTCTCTTCTGTCTCCCAATGTTCCACGTCGCAGCAGTACCAAGTCCGGTTCCTCCCTCCCTTTGAATCCCACAAGCTAATGTTGATGTCTCTGACAAGTCATTCATACATCTGTCCTCAAAGCTGGAGCACCGGCAGTCATCATGCTACGGTTCGATTTAGCGCAGTATCTGGAGGCGACTGATAGATTTGCTATTACCGAATGGTATATGGTTCCTCCGATGGTCATTGCTATCGTAATGAGTCCGCTTGCCAAGAATTACTCGCTTAGGTCGGTGAGGAATGTGTCGATTGGTGCTGCGCCGTTGAGTAGGGAGTCTCAGAGGGCTTTGAAGGGTTTGTTGGATGAGAGGGCTATTGTGACGCAGTAAGTGATGGATTTTTCGATTCGGAATGAAGAGGGGTAGACGATGTGTTGTGACTTTTTCTGTCACTTGGTGTTGTATGGGACAGCTGGTACTGTAGAAGGGAGAGGCTGATTTGGAGAGTGTTTAGGGTATGGGGAATGACTGAGTTAACTTGTCTCGCTACAATGTTCTAGTACCCTGAAAACGACGATACAGAGAGCATCGGTCGCATCATACCAAATACCGAAGCAAAGTAAGTCACATCCTCCCTTTCCCCAAAGAATCCATATCTAACAGACCACAAACTCATCGACGATAACGGAAACGAAATTACAACCTACGACACACCCGGAGAACGTAAGCCGCCCTCCCTCTTTACCACCACCCCTAACCAAGCACCAGTCTACATCCGCGGCCCAACCGTAATAAAATCCTACTACAAAAACGCCCACGCCACCTCCCAAACCCTCACTCCCACCTCCTCCCTCGCAACCGGCGACATAGTCTACTGCTCCTCCACCTCCCAAGAATGGTACCACATCGACCGAAAAAAGGAGCTCATCAAAGTCCGCGGTTTCCAAGTCGCACCACCCGAAATCGAAAGTGTGCTGCTTTCCCACCCAGGGATTTTAGATGCGGCGGTTATCGGCGTGAAGATTCGGGGTGAGGAGTGTCCGAGGGCGTATGTTGTGAGACGGCCTGGTAGGCAGTGGGAGGCGCTTGGGGAAAAGGAGGTGAGGAGGTGGTGTGAGGTGCGGTTGGCGAGGTGTAAGAGGTTGAGCGGTGGCGTGAGGTTTTTGGGTGCTGTGCCGAGGAATGCTAGTGGGAAGATTTTGAAGAGGGTTTTGAGGGAGGAGGCGGGGAGGGAGGGAGGGAGAGGG